TCTACACGTGAGCAGCATTTGCTATGGTAAGCATACAGTAAAAGTAGGATTAGAAAAGACAATCTTTCTCATAAAATTGTCTGTATGTGCTGAGGGAAGGACAAGGTACTGAAAGGAGACAGATGTGTGCAATACTGTCTTCATTTTATGTACACAAAGTATGTTTTTTGTTAAATAGCAAAAAACAGCATCAGGGTATTAGGCTATGACTTCTCTGTAAGAACGTAATGTCTTACATCCATCCAGAGTGACCAGGAAAATACAGCATATCTGACTGGAGCTGATTACCCATTCTCTGATTAACTGTATACAAAATAAGAGTAAAATTGTCAAAAACATTTTAATTAGCTACATGTTAGTATCAATTTTACTTGAAAGAAAACTTTTTTCTGTGCTTCACACTACTGAGATGAAGTGATCCCAGAAGGATGGAATCTGTCATCAGCTACCTGCTGCAGTGTTGTAATGCAGTTGGAAACGGAGCTTAATCAGCTACCACTGAATAAACCTTTAAGAAGGTGAAAAGTCACATGGCATGTAACCAACAGCAGTGCTCCTCTGAATCCTATGCAGCCAAGCACAAAAGCTATGCGCTGGAACCTGTGCACCTGGAAGCCATGGAAGCAAAATCAAAATTACAGCTTCTCTGAAATTCTGTGAAATGTGGAGGCCAGCTAGAAAAAGCAATGATGTTGTTCTGTTTTAGAGATTCTGTCAGAAAATGGAGAGTGGTTTTCCAGGCAGAAACCCACTTCTACAGTGCCACTTGCAGGCTTTCCCTTGTTGTTACTGTTTTGGTTTTGTTTTTATTTTATTTTGGTTTTGTCTGTTTTTTTATTGAATTGCATGTTTTATTTACACTGTTATTACATGTCATTATTTATCACAAGCTTACTGCTAACATCTTCACCAAATTATAGAAACAAATCCTCTAAAAGCTAGTTCTAATTCAGTGCACAATAATCATGGAATAAATGTACAACATGTGTCTTTCACCTTCGTGGAACTTATTTTAGTCAGTTTTTCACTAAATACTCTGCGTTTAAAAAAAGTCCATGAAGTATACCATCAGTCAAGTCTGTCACTTGCACACAAATGCTCAAAGAATACGTGCAGTTGAACTCATTGATGTATCAGCATTACGGAATTACACAGCCTAAAACATGACTTTGAAAATCATGGTGGTTTTTTTTCTATAAATACATAAATATTTAAAGTATTTTATGTGAGACACCATACAGCTATGTGTAACTATCTTAAGAAAAAATAATTATTTAAAAATTCAAATGCAATTCCTCTGAATGATCATGAAGTAGTGTATAAACTGCATAATCTTTGGGAGTAGAAAGTGTGAAAGATGGAAATGAGAAAAGAAGACAATATATTTAACTATGAATGTAAAGCTACTGAGGAAGTAGCACCACACACCAAAAATGTACTCTTCAGCAACTGAATCTAATATGCTGTGTGTGTGACTTTATATGTAAACATACATTTGAGGTCTGGGTCCCAGAGGGAGTTGTCTGGATCATTACTCATGCACACCATCACTGTTCGTGAGAAATTACACGTGTAAAGGCTGCTCATGTAATTAAAGGCTGCAGAATTAGAACCATAATTTCAGTTTGCGTGAAAGATCTAATCCACCATGCGTCTGTTGGATGTAGAACATTTCCAGTTTTAATGCTATCTGTAACCTAGTTTTGTGATTTGCTTTGATCTGTTGGAAATTATTTGGCATGAAGGTTACTATAAATTTTAATGATGCTAAATTACAAACCCTCACTGTCGAGATTTGACATTTATTCACATTTTGGACACAGTACTTGGAAAAGTGTACAGTTTGTAATTTATTTTTTATTTTAGTTAGTAAGTGTGCCTATTCATTGTAATTCATGAGCTTAAACAATTTAAAAGCTTTAGAATTTGTCATTTTGAAAAAAGACAGTTTAAAACATCCTCATTAAACTGTTCATTTTTTGATACTTGCAGTTGTAACATTTGGATAAATGTATTAGGCACTAAACCTGCATGGGGACAAAACATCTATAAGATGCAAGTTAAAGTGACTTCCAATAATCATATCCAAGTCAGTATGTAAATCCAGGGCAGTATGTAAATCAAATTAGATTGTGAAATAATGATGGACCTTACTTTTCATCTATAATTAACTTTTAAAGTGGTGTGATTCGCACTGATTTATCATTCAGCAGACATGCAATATAATTTAGCCTCATTTTAGGGCTGGCTTTCCTGAATAAAAGAGTATCTCAGATTTTGCATTCTTTCTGAACTCACTCTTAACGTTATACAAAATTTTAAGTACCAATGAGATGAACTCTGCATTTCAGCAGAATATGTTGAAAAAAGAAATTATGTAATTTGGAGATGAATAAAAGCGTGCTTTATACTTAACCTAAATCTAGTTTGGCTTCAGGACATTTTCCATATTTGAGCTATCTTCAGCAACCAGCAAAGAGGACATGCATGCACATCTGCAGTGCTTAGGTTTTGCCTTTCTTAGTAGGAAATTGGGAGGAAGTAAAACAATGCTTTGCGTCCTAGATCTCTGTGCAAGGAGTTTCTGAGTGTCAGTCAGTTCATCCTCAGAACCTCGTATTCATCTGCTTCTGGAATCTTGCATGAGGTGGTTCATCTCTGTCATGAAATAATATTGAACTTCTTTTGCAAAGACCCCATTGAGAGGAAGTTCCTTGCAGATGAAGGTGCCTTCCATACCCCAGGACTGTCTGGTAAAATGCAGCAACAGGAGTGTAGAATAATCAATCCGTCTTAATTGGCATTTGCATTTGGCTGTCTTCAGTCCCAAAGGACTGCCAGCAATGCAGTCATGCCAATGCCAGCACTGATATAGCAATGCTTATAGCATTGATAAGCAATGCTATAACTACAACTATAATAACTAATGCTATAACTACAACACATAATGCTATAACTACAACACATTACAACTAATGCTATAACTACAACTATTTCTCTGCCACAATCCCTCTATTCTATACGTGCTTGAGGAAGCAGTGCATATGCCAGCCTAAACACACTACATTTTCACCCACGAAAGAATACTTATGAAACCAGATCTGCCAAATTTAGTACCGCTGTATAGCAGTACAGCTGAAGGAATTATCCAGGATATTCCAGCTTGTTGGCACCCTACTACTGGCAACTCTTCAGACCACTCTGAGTTAAAAAAATAAAAAAATAAAATAAAAATAGATGAGATCATGTTTAGAAGCTTAGCAATACAATCTGCACTATTCTCTAGCAGATTTTCCTAGAAGATGTTGCAAAATAATGTGACATGACTACTTTCTATTTAAAATGCCTTCATACTATTATTATCTGACATAATGGATCTTAAATCTTTTAGATCAGCAATCATGCTTGTTGGACATTAAATCTTGGAAAACCTATATAGTTTATGAATATTTTACCACTAAAGCAACTTTTAGACAAAGCACATTCCTACAAGATGAATAATAAAATAAATGCAAAGGCAAACAAACATAACAAAAACTCCATGATTTGAGGTTCAAAATTTTTTCGTTTAGGAAATGGGAACAGCCATGTACTTTACATTTCCATTGCCTAAGATGGTAATCACTGATGGGCAATAGTGGTTAAGCTAGTATGAAAAAAGAGGCCACAGGAAGTCCTGGTTTTCCATATGTATTTGGTCACAAAGAAAGGGGAGACTGAGGGCAAACGTGAGCACTGTCTGGCTGTATTGTAGCTGCTGCTCTGCCCCAGTTCTGTATAATCAGCTCAGTGGCTGACCTATTCTCTGCCGTCTGCAGCCTAGCATCGGGATGAACTTAGGATCCAGCTGTGTCTGTGCTGAATTATTTTTTTGCCAATTGGTATATTCTGCAATCCCACTGGTTCAACTGCCTCTAAACACTTCAGTGATGGTTCACATCTCATGAGGATTAAGTACATGCTCAAACAGAAAATAAAATACAGTGGTTGTCAGAGGCACGGGAAGGTACATGAGTATCTGCCAAACACAAATCAGCAGCAGAATGTTGATGAACAGCTTGACATTTGTGCATGTTACACATGTACACATGGACACATCATTCTTAGAAAATTTCTCAACCTCCTTACACATTCATTCTATGATTGAGGAATTTAACACAAAGTTAAGTGATCAAAATGAAATGTTTCCTAAAATAAAATTATTCTTCAAAGGATTTTCAAAGATTTGCTGTCTTGCCTGAGCACACATATATATGTATACATGTTTCAGTTGTCAAGGTACTCCAGAGCCTCCAAAACAAAAAAGCTCTCTAATAAAAGATTAGCTAAAATCTTGAAGAAGCCCTGCTCTTCAAAGGGTGATAGAAAAAACATTCAGACAACCCGAGGTGTGGAACGTTTAACTGAAGAACTAACACGATTGTTGTCATGCCCTAACGTGAGACACAGAGAAGGGGATTGCCCCGAGGCCAGCCGCGGCCACTCGCTGCACTCCGATTACAAATGGCAGCTCTCGGTTCCTGACCCTGCGCTGATTCCCGGGGCTGCAACCGCTGTCCCTTCAGCACCACTCGAGGCAATCAACAGCTCCACACATTTCTCGTCCTGTTGTAAAAACTCTCGGTGCTGTGAAAACTCAGGAAGTGCAAACTGCCTCTTTTTTGGTTTTTTGTTTTTTTTTTTTTTTGTTTTTTTACTTTTTTTTACTTTTTCAAGTGAGGTGACAGCGATCTCCTCGCTTCTCTCAGCCATTTGCTCTGCAAATTCTCTGCGTTTCCTTAAGCCTTGCACTGCACGGACAGTAATCACGGGATTAGGACCGATCAGGACCGAGGACTGGGGCCGCTGGCGGCTGGCTGACAGGCTCCGTCACGCGAGCTGCCATTCCATCCCCTCAACCTCCGCAAGTAGGGGCGCGCACGGCGCTCCCGCCCGCGCCTGCAGTGGCTCCTCCGAGTCCACAGGCGGCGGTGCTGCCCGAGCGACCTCGGAGGGCGATCGCGGCCGCCGCTTCCCGTCTGCCCAAGATGAACCCGCGGCTGCGGCACTGGAGGGAAGCGGCGTCGGTGCTACTGGCGGCGGGCACGCCGGGGCGGCGATCGCCCTGTCCGCTCGGGCCCTGTGACTACGAGGTGCTGTTTTTGCAGCGGAGCTCCCGCAGCGGCTTCATGCCCAACGCGCACGTGTTCCCGGGCGGCCTGGTGGAGGCGGCGGACTTCTCGGCCGAGTGGCTGCGGCTCCTGCCCGCCTCGCCGCGCTGCGGGCTGGGCGCCGTACGGCCGCCGCCTCCGGGCAGTAGCCGCGCCCCGCTCTTCGCCACCGACCGGCAGCAGCTGGGCTCGCCGCTGCCGGGAGAAGTCGCCTTCCGAATCTGCGCTATCCGGGAGACCTTCGAGGAGGCGGGAATACTCCTACTGGCTCCGGGCGGCGGGCCGCGGGAAGGGAACGGCCCGGCCCCGTCGCTGCCCGCTGAGCGATCGCTGTCCGCCGCCGAGCTGGGCGAGTGGCGACGCCGGGTGCAGGAGGACCCCGCCTGCTTCTTGCAGCTCTGCCGCCACCTGGACTGCGTCCCCGACATCTGGGCGCTGCAGGAGTGGAGCAACTGGCTCACCCCGGTGGGCAGGGCCGGCCGCGGCGGGCGGCGCTACGACACCGCCTTCTACCTGTGCTGTCTGGAGACGAGGCCGCCGCACACCTCGCAGGACAACCAGGAGATCGCGGCCTTCCTGGTAAGGGCTGCGGGAGCCGTCCCCGCCGCGCTAAGCTCCGGTTTTCACCTCGCGGCCACGCGGGCGCCGTGACGGCGGCACGAGGAGCTGCCCCGCGGGCCTCCCCGCCTTTCCCCCGGGGGTACGTGCGCTGCCGGCCAGCTTTCTGCCAGTGCTGCCTTCTGGGATGACAAGGAGCAAATCTACCTCCTCTATATGGTATAGAAATGTAAAAGCACCCAAGATCTTATTTTCAAAGGAGTTCATGCTATAACATTTTGCTAATAATGGCAGAATTGTACAGCAGATGCTGATGTACGCATTTGTGTTATCGAATTCAGCATGCTAGACAAAACAAGACGAATAGTTTATACTTGCAGAACCACACCATGTTTATTTACTGCAAGTAGCTGAGTATTCGTGCTGTACAGCGTGGACTCAGTTTTTGTTGGAGCACACTCTTAGTCTTGAACCCAGACTTCATTTTAGTTTCCAAATTTTGTGTGCCTGCATTTAAAGTTCAAAATTATTTATTTTATTGGAAAAATGTAATTTCTACAAATTACTGTCCGTATGTTCTAGTAAGTTTTTGACTCCTGTTATTGATATAGTTTACTTGTGACTTTTATTGTGTTCAGAAAACTTAAGGCTGTTTAAAGCTTTTTCTTACTCTAATTTTGTCTGCTGCTGAAGCTATTGTTTCAAGGTTTGTTTTCCTCAAACAGTGGGCATCCCCCCCAGAAGCTATTGAACGCTTTAAATCTCAAGAAATCTGGCTTGCTCCACCTCAGTTCTACGAACTATGTAGGCTGTGCAACTTCTCCTCACTGAGTGATTTACACAAGTTCAACACTGATCGAGCTCTAGAAGGATGTGAATGTTGGCTGCCTGTGACATTAACTGCTGCAGATGGCTTAATTCAGCTCTTGCCAGGTAAGAAAGCAGATAAAGGTTCTTTGAAGTATATAAAACCTTTGGGAATTGATAAATACTCGAGCCACTTTTCATAAGCCAGTCTATATCTGAGGGAAAAACCTCTCAGAAGTCACATCATCGCACTCATTTCCAACTGTTTTTCTTCTGCCATCCTCCAGCTGCTATGATACAGCTGATAATGGCTGCTGTCAGAAATGAGCTCCTGGACCACTTGGGCAGCATGGTGATTTCTGCTCTTACCACTAATTTCATTGTTTCATATGGTTACCGTTGATACACAGATTTATGAAGAAATTGTTAACTTTTTTTCTTTTTTTAAATATGAAGGATATATTAGAACTCAGATTTAGTTCTTTTCAATGAGAATTTTCATTGACTTAAGTTATCCATTTGTAAGGGCAAGTGAATCAACCACACAGGTCTTCACAATCACAGTGTAGTGATATAACTGCTGTGATTACAGCATGTTAGCATTAGCAAGAGCTCTGAAACATGTGCACTGTTCACTGACAGATACTTTAGGAATATATGGCTGTAATATTAGATATGAAGATGTTTAGAAACTATTTACTCATCAAATCTATTCCCACTTAATCTCACGTCCTGATAAATATTTTTTTAAATTGCAAGTATCACTCAGTCAAACAGCTGCAGAATAAGACAGACATTCTGTAACTAAACATTGTTCTGTTTGTTTTCTTCAGGTGATGAGTTATATCCAGAAGACCCAGATTATACAGGTGAAAAGAAAATAACTTTGTCAACAGATAAGACGGTTGAAGATGTCATGAAAGGGGGTAGCATATTTCACAGGATAGTAATAAAAAATACCAACAGTCTTGCTGTCTATGTTAATATTCAAGCAAAATATAAACATATGAATCCGTTGATGATAAACACTGATAGTTCAAACTACAATAGTAGATTATAATGTATTTGGTTTAAAGCTAGAATATGTTCCATTACATGCATATTCACTGTGTTTCTCATCGTTCCTAACAGTTTCCAAGTATTCAGGAGAGTAGACTTAAATATTCCTTGCCAAAGCATTTCATGTGATTGTAGGTTTTAGATTTGTGTATCTAATTCTTTGAGTCTTTGAAATTGCATAGTTGTGCCAGTTATAACCTTCAGAAGCTACTGAAAATTTAACACAATCACCAATTGAATTACCTGGAGAAACTTGAAAGTGATTTGACACCAATTATACTGAGCAGTTACCAACTTATTCTACTTACATATTAGTAGTGGTATTCCAGCTGGTCTGTTGGGTCACAGAGGTCCTTTTCTCACTGAAAATTAAAGTATATCGTATGTTCAAAACAAGTGTGTTTTGAGTTGAAGAATTATTTTACTATTCTTCTAACATAGGTCTAGAAATGAATGAATCTCCTGTTCCATTCTTATTGACATATTTCATATTCTGGAAAAACTGTATGTGCATATATATAGATGTGTTAGCTAATGTTAAATTTCTTACTGAGAGGGTGGTGAGGCACTGGCACAGCTGCCAGAGACACTGTGGTTTCCCTGGTGGTGCCCAAGCCTGAGCTGGCGGGGGCAGCCCTGCCCACGACAAGGGGCTGGAACTGGATGGTCCCTTCCAACCCAAGCCTTTCTATGATTCTATGAAATATTTATTACAATAAACAATATTTATATTTGATAAAATAGTTTATGTTAATTTATGCAAAACATCAAAATTTTCAAAGGTAGAGATGATTTAGATATAAACTATCATCTATCAGATTGAGTGCAAACATTCTTTTTATTCATTCTAACCTTTACCTTCAAGTCACTAGTAATTTTAAAAGAAAAAATGAATTTTCAGCTCCAAAAAGCTTTCAAAAACTTCAGTTCATAATGTACTGCCTTGAAAACAACTACTTCCACATTTCAGCGTCCCACATAATGCTTCTTAACATGTCTTTGAGATTTAAAGACTGCAGAGGAAGGTCAGCTACTCTTTGATGTTTTATTTGGGGGCAGGGAGCAGTAAGTGGAGCATATGGAGCTATGATGCGGTATCTTCTTCATCTGGAAGAAGGATGACTTGTGATTAGACAGTAAAGCTGTTCTGAAAGCTTTGGTTCAACTTTTGTTCTGTATTTCAATTGAAATAAAATTTTTTGTAGTATTTTCTTTCTACTGAATTTGTTTGTAGCATTCATTTGGACTGGAAAAATGTTCCTGTTTTTTCTCTTATTGAACACGCTCAGATGGTTCTAGGTTTAGAAGTCCCTTGCTGCTGTTCTTCTTCACAATATTCTGGCTAATTCTTTAGAACATGAAGATCACAGGAAAATTAGAAAAATGGAGAGTGGAAGAAGCAAAGAATGTATCCAGTGTTACCCTCTGACATGATTTTTAGCTCTTAGAGATTAACACCGGGCACTGTAATACTAGGTAGGTAAGAGGAAAAAGCATGGCTATCAGTATTTTTCTTACATCTAACACGAGTATCTTGGCTTCAAAGTTACTCCATGCAGGGCTGTTTGATGAACTACGCTGAGAAGATACGCTATTTATTTAAATACCGTATCTCTATGATAACTGATAATAAAGAAGATGCTTTAATTTTTGCAATATAGTCTTTCTCAGTTCACGGACAGACTTCTGGATCTTTATTTATTGTTCTGTACCTTGTGTTGGTTGTACCAGTAGGTTATCTAAGTGTTACTGCATGTCAAAGAGTAGTGACTTCAATACTGAACCTGCTTAAATCTGCCTCTCCACATTGTCTCCTGGATCTTGTTTTTTGCACTAGTAAAAGTGAAAGGGTCCAGTAGGGGGAGCTTGAAGGCCAAACAACAACAAGAAGAACAGAAAAGATACTATTTTGCTTTAAAAATGAAGATAACTGTCAAATAGAAACATAAATGGTTTACAATATGCAGACAGTAAGTATCTTGTAGCATTAAGTTAAAAACAGTGGCAGTTAGAACTGTGAATTTGAAATACTGAGGCACTGTAAGAACAGACCAGATTCCAGCTGCACGTTCACCTGCTGCCCTTGGGCTGGAACTTTGACCAGGCAGCCTTGCACAGACATACCAGATAGCGAAAAAAAAAAGAAAAAAAAGCCTGGATGAAAAGGTGAGCATACAGCAGTGAGTAATAATAATCAAAAGAGATGTAGGTGCTTTCTCACAGAGTGTGATGTTATGGAACAGTCATATTCTGTTGGAGATGCTCTTCTGAATTCATATAGCTGAATTCCAGGAGAGAAACACCAGGTGCAATCTCCCTCTGTCTCCGTAAGTCTTTCAACACATGCTGTGCTTCCCACTGAGAGACTCTGAGGGGAAAGGAGTTGCCGCAGAGGCTCTGGCCATTACAGATCATTACAGGCCCATAGGGCAGCACGGGCAGCCCGCGCAGGACGAGCCCTGCTGCCCTCTCCGGCTGCTCTCAGCTCTCCTACAGCCCTTCTAAACTCAACCCGAGGCACGGGCAGCGGCACACACAAGCATCATCCCTCCGAGCCCAAGCGCCCGACCAGGAAAAAGGCCAGACATTCACCTGCTATGATAATTTCCACAACAATGCGCTTAACGAGCCGAAAATGAAGCACCTTCCAGCCCTGACAACGCCTTCGCACCTCCTCTTCCTCCCGGTACTTCAGTAAGGAAGAGCTGCGCATGCGCGGCTTGAGGGCGCGTCCCGCCCTTTTGGGGTGAGAGCGGGAGGCGGCGGGGCTTCTGGAAGATCGTGGAACTTTCTGTGGTAGTGCTGAGGTCTGTGCGGTTGCTCTAGCATTGTATGGCTAAGGTTTTTACTTCTCTGAGGGAGAGTATAACGTTAAGGTATAAAGTGAGGATTGGAATAATGGAGAAAATACTGTTTCTTATTGGTACTTATTGTATTGTGTGCTTCCTTGTGCCACTGAGGTGCCTTTGTGAGATGGAGTGGGGCTGGAAGGGCTGAGGAAGGGCAGGGCAGGGCTCAGCTCTTAGAGTGCTTGTGTCAGACCTGTGTTGTCAAAAGGGTGTCCTTTCACCTTTTACCTGTATGCTTCTCCTTAAGGTAGCACTTGCAGTAATCCTGTGTCTTTCTGAGGTGAGTAGTGGTGTTGGGTGATGGCTGGGAGCAAGCCTTTGTGTCCTCATTTTTCTCTTAGTAATGGAGTGGCTGTTTATTAGGGGAACCAGCTTTTTTTCTGTGTGTGCATTGGCCTTAGTGACTTGATAGGTACTTATGTCCTTTATGCTTAGGGAGACATAAAGAAGGTAGGTTGAGTGGTAAGGGCAATGTATTTTAGCAGGAGTTATTGTATGAGCGGTTTTAGTGGTGGCTTTGGAAGCTGAAGCTGCTGGCTTGGCTTATCGTTCCTCTTAAACCCTCTTACCCCAGTGTGAATTCTTCTAAGAAGCAGGCTGAGCATTGCTGTGAGGAGCGGTGCTGTGATGTGCAGGGCTGTGAAATGCAATGTACATCGTTGGATATAGCAGGTGGTGCGTGCCGTAATTCTGTTCCACGTGAGCATGGTGTGAAATACAAGTAGAAGTATGTGGTAATTAAAACCGATTGAGGCTGGGACTCATGTCTGTGTTTATTTATTTACAGTAATGTTTGAGTTTCTCTGGTGTTGGTGTCGGTTGGCCACGTAGCTAGGTTGTAGCAGTCCTTTAACCAAAATACTTGCCTTGGCCTTTGAGAGTAAAATAATGGCCTATAGACTGCAGGCAGGTTGAGGATAACAGGTATTTTCTGTTACACAATCACATCGCTTTTCAGCATATGAATAAGTGGATGGCAAATATCAATTAGGATTCAATGTAATAAGTCTTTTATACATGTAAATTAGTTGCCTAAGGCAGTACTTTGTACAAAAGTAGGAAAAATGTGTATTTGTTGTGTACTTCTTAGCTATGCTTCAAAGCAAATGAAAGTTTTAATGTAGACAACCAAATATTTGTGGGTTTGTTTGTTTGTAGTGTTGAAGAGGACTTAACGGCTGGGCATTATGGAAGTCTTCGTATTACGGGTATGCTGATATTTTTGAAAGTTAAGGTAGTCAATGTTTATTTCAATGAAATTGGAAGTCAGATTTGCAAATAAGATGATGCCTTTATTTCTGTTCGGTAGTCATTTCTTATACGTGTGGTAGGGATATATGTGGATTGTATAAATTTTCTCGCTTCGATTTTTGTCTTGATTTCTTCTGAAAAGAAGTTAGTAAGGATGCAGCTAAAATTTAAAATGGAAGGCATCCTGCATAATTTTAAATATAGCATCTGCTGTTCTACTGAACCCTGTAGGACGTAATGCAGAAATTTCTTTTCCTCAAATGTTGAATACCCTTATTATCTGAAAAACTGGTATGCAAATACTTTAAAAAGTTGAGCAGGCTGTGGCTCTATTTTAAATGAGCTGTCTTGTAGACCCTCTGAACCTGAAGAAAATGTATTGGTGTTGTTTTTTTTTTGCATACTCCAGAGGTAATGTTCAAGTAAAAAGCTTATGTGTTTGCAGCTAACTCTCATTATATTTAGTTAACAAGCCTATTAAATAATGCTACAGCTTTTCAGAATGGATATGGTATCGTGGTACTGAAGAGGGCAAATTGAGAAATCAGTTACTGAACTAAAGCTTTGATCCTGAAAGTTGTTTTGTTACTAATATTTGTTCAGTGTTAGTTCTCATAACTTTAAGGTACCTCAGTAAAGACTGCATCTTATTTTTACACTTACTGCCCACGTGTTCGTAGAAGTATCTTATTACTCTATCACTTCAGGTGGAGATAATACTATTTATTTTTGTCTGCCTTTTACACCAGATTGAAGATCCAGGTTGCTTTTGGGTTACTATGAAAGGATGCGGGCCTCATGTAGTTGATGAAATAGAGTATAAAAAGCTGAACGCAGAAATGAATCAGTTCTATGACAAAGCTTGTGAAGATGAAGTAAAGCCAATAACATTAGAAAAAGACCAGGTAAAATCATTGATATGTTCTACACATAAAAAGAAATAGTGTGTTATTTACATTGGTTTAGGGGAGAAGTATCCAAGATGTGTTAATTTTTGCTTGTTTTATTTTTGAAATTGTTGCTGTGAAATAGAAATCTGTATCAGTATGGGTTATTTTTCTTACACGTAGCTTCATCACTACATAAGCCATAATGCTTGCAGTTTACAAAGTAAATCTAGGGCTGTAAAGAAAGTACCATGTTTTTCCACTAAGTAAACTGTATAATTTGTTCAGATCATGAGAACCCATTGTTTTGTTTCTTTTTCAGCTTTGTGTGGTTTTCAGCAAGGAGCTGAAGTGCTGGTGTAGAGCAGTTGTTAAGACGATCATGCACTGTGCAGACCATTATCAAATAGAATGTTTTCTAGTGGATTATGCAAAGTATGTTTTTGTTAAATCAAAACAGTAAGTGTCTCTTTTTTTGATGTTTATATGCATGTAAAATACTGTGACTGTTTTTCTAACTTGCTGGCTTAATTGGAATGAGTCCACAAGAAAATGCTAGCCTTTATCATTGGAGATTCAAATATGGCAGTGATGATTGAAATATGACTGCCAGTTAGCATTGCTGAAATGTACTTTCCTCTGTTATTAAGGGATTTATTTGAAAAACAAACAAACACCATGTAACCCACTGTTTCTAAAATCTTAATATGTATCTTAAAAATCTCTTCCATGTCTCAGCTATATTTAATATTTACTTACTTAACGAGATATCCAACAAGAGCATTTACCAGGTGTTTTTTAAGAAAACTTATTTGTTTGAAGAGATAAATATTTTATAATCTTAACTTAAAGATAGTTTTGAATTGAATGTTTCTGTATCAGAAAGCAACTTGACTGTGCCATAAGTTTAAAATGTGTTCTCATAGAATTAAATGCATAATATACTGCTTCAGTGTAAAACAAATTAGAAGAAGAGTGATAACATATGGGTCTTACAAGATTGCTCTAGATGATGTCTTGCTGATTACTCTGGTTACTTACTGGTTTCTTGTTATTTGGTCTCCCACCAAGTCATGCGTAAGGGATAATTGTGTTGCTTTCACTAGAGTCTGGACCAATATATAAATAATACCTTTTTTCTAAGAGTAAGGAGCACAGACGCAAATAAGTATATTAATTTTATCCTTAGTTTTCCTAGTTTTTTATCCTAGTTTTAATCATATATTATTTTTTTTTTTACTGAAGAGTAAGAATTGTCAAATGGCTTATGCAGTGCCAGAAAACATACATATAGTATCATGAAAAGACTTTAAATTGAACTGTCTCTGCTAAATAGGGAGTGCAGAGTTTCACGGTGGGAGCCAAACATCTAGAAGAACTGTGTTGTCACGTAGGATAATGAAAGGATGTATTTGAAATGCCAGTGACTTCTGCAGAATGTAATCTGTAGAATGAGATTATTTCTGTTTTTTGTTTTTAAGTGTTCGAGTTGCAGTGGAAGAATTTATGCAAATCCCATTTAGAGCAAAAAAATGTGGATTGTATCGCACAAAGCCTGTGACCTTGCATGTCAACCTCTGTGAAGATACAGCAAAAATAGTGTAAGTAGGGTTCTGTAATTGTATTCTTGTCACGTGTTTCTCAGACGTAAAATTTCATTTGAGAATAAACATCTTTTTTTTTTTTATACAAGAGCAATTCATAAATAAAATTCCTTCCCTAATCATTTGGGGTTTGTTTTTCATCTATTTGAATCTTTTAATATTTTCATGAGCATTTGGCAGTTCTTGTTTTTTGTTTACCATCCTAGAGCTGTGTTACTTGGTTGCTAGCACATGAGCTTCTCTGCCAGTTATCCTTCTGTGTTCTTTCTTGGGGTGCTCATCTCACTACTGACTGTCTTGTTTGTGCTTATTACACACTCTGCCAGAATGGAAATTCTAATAATGTTTTTAGATAGCTTTGTTTTTCTCTCTCTTCTTGAAATGGTTTGGTCTCCTGTTGTATTTGTCATCTTTGTATCAGCTCTGGAGGACTGGAGAAAAGGTTTTCTTTAGAGTCTGCTGGTAAAGGGAAACATTTGAATGTTCTTATTTGAAATTACAGAATGTCATTGTTGAAGATTTTCAGATGTGATTATATTGTGGGGTCGGATTATTCCTTCATAGCAAGGAAACTACTGTTTTCTGTTATTAAAGGATGTTCAAAACTAGATGTAGTCCAACAGGTGGTTTTTTAAACACTTTGAAAGAAAAAATCTTTTACTTGCATACTCCGTCAGAAAAAATAGTAACTTAGTTTGGATAGGAATAGCATCTTGAGTGGGCTATTTTTGTGAATTATTGAGAGGTTAGTAGATGAGTAAAGGGAACCTGAGTATATTTGTTTTTTGTTAGAATCTGTATATTTAATATTTGCAGAAGGTGGCAATGACAATTTAAGTTTTTGTTGCAATACTTCAAATTTTTAGAATTTCAGAGTTTATAAGTTGCTCATTGTAAAATTGTTCAATACTAATTTCAAGTAATTGATGTGTTCTATAAGTGGATTCTTGCTTTTGTTTCTTATTATACTACTTTATTCTTACTAGTTTGTTCTGTGTTGGATGTATCCATCATATATTGGCAAAGCAATATCCAATAATTTTCAAGTAGTTTGTTCTAGGAATGAATTGATAAATCAAAACCTGAGTTATATTCAGAGTATTAAGTTTCTGCTTATGTTTTTGTTAGATGCAGGTTTTGAGACTTAGCAGGACTCGATGGATACATGCCTCACTATTCAGATTACCATTTGAATTTGTGATGGTGTGAATGTGGGATAACTGGTTGTGTTTCTTTTCCTAGACCAGCCAAAAGATGGGATAATGCTGCTACGCGGTATTTTCAAAGTCTTCTGGAAGGTAAAAGTCTTGTAAAAATTGGCACTTCTGTTTTGGGGAAAAATAAGTTACCAGAGAAACACGGTACTTGAATATGTATTCATTTTTAATTTTCACTAAATTCTTAATAGAAATGAGTTGCGTGGTTGTTTTTGTCTGTGTGAGTTGACTTAGTCAAGGTTACATGTAGTCATGAGTCTTGAGTACTGTGGGCTTCCATTCTGTATAAAATATGGCAAGTGTCTAAGTTGTGTCCTTCTGTGGGTTTTTTGGATGGGTTGAATAAGGTAGCACTCGTATAACAACTGTTTTTAACAGTGGTGCCTTTCTTTGTATTCAGCATAATTCTTTGAATCAGCCTTAAAGCTGTTTTTGCTAGTTGTGTGACAAGAATATAAAACACCAGCTCAGAAGAGATTATCTTGATTTATAGTTACATTATTAAATGGATTGTGCTCAGCATAGTTTCTAAGTAAGCTAGAATGGTTTGCTCTCTGCTCAGTTTGTGTCCTTAATCATGTGTGGTGTTTCGGTAGCTCATCCAGACTTCTTCATATCAAGTGTGCTGTTTTGGTATGAGAGAGCTTTTGATTTTTCAAAACAGTTCTTTGCTGAGTTTGTCTGATCTTACATGCTTCTACTGAAAGGCTTCTTACCTGCTTCCTTGCAAGTGCAGTGTACTCTACACAAAATGATATTTGGGAAGAAGTGTCTGAGTTCATAATAACAGTAAGGACTGTTAAGACTAATAACTTCACACGGGAATTGTGAATAATTGTGCAATTATTCTGGTTGTGGCTTTGTGTACTATTTTATTTTCTATGTTTGTGTATGTTTGTTTGTTTTTGTGTTCTACTGGATTTCTTCCAGCTGTAATGTATAGCTGTTTTTGGAGGTTATAACTTATTAGTTACGGGAAGTAGTGGGAACGTGGCACTTTTCATTATTTAAGTTGTGTGTTTGCACATCTAAGTGTCAAATATTGCTATGCAGAGGGTAGTAGGCAGCACCAGCAACATTAACTTGATTCCACAAACATTCCCAGGCTGTGGTAAGCAATATTATGCTCTTTTTAAATATTGTTATTATTGCTGGTACATCAGTAGTGTGTGCAGGAGAAATACTTAAGAGTTTTATGACATCATTTATTTGTTAGGGTTTTTTTAATTAATATCCTAACCAAACTTTGCAAATGTGCAAATATACCTTCTTTCAGAAGAAGTCTCAAAGAAGGAAAGTATGCATTTGTACTCTGCGTTGTTCATCTGAGGGTAGAATGTGAACACTTCTGGTGTGACTGTGACTGGTGTCTGTGGACCAGTCACTGGTCTCTTCCAGTTCTGTCTTCCCTCAGAGACTGAGAGCAGTGCTTTTCTAATGTTAAGGTTTTTTTGCTGTATTGCAAAATTTCTGTTCCTTTAAAAAATCAAAACATTTGTACTAGTTTCTCTTGAAAGTAATAGATCAGGCTCAAATCATTGTTCTTTCTATTTCTGTGTGCTTGAAAAATACTGGACTTCTTGTTTATTGCTATTTTTTAGCAACTACACAAATCAAAGCGAAGTTATGTTCTGTGGAAGATGATACATTTCATGTTATTCTTTATGTGACAGTAGAAGATGAAAAGGTAGGATACTTCGATGTCTACAAACCCGTTAGTACGCTTTACAGTACAAATCATAATTCTGCAATTTTTAAGACTGAAAAGCATTAGTAATGAGTTTTGTCATTTGTCAGATATAGTAAGTGCTGTGTTACTTATTAAAGGTATTTCTGTCATTAAAAATTGAAGTAAGAGTGTAAGTTACTCTCTTTATTATTATTCCAGTCTTTTATTTTCTAAAAAAGAAGCAAATATAAGGGTATCTGTATTAGGAAGAGACTTTTAAAAAAGTATGTGGATGCTGATAGTGTTAAAACCAGAGCACTTTCATTTTAGAATAGAATTAGTGGGGGTAACTTTGGATGACCTGCAATTATTCTGGGTGTGACTTTGTGTACTAATTTATTTTCTATGTTTGTTGGTTTTTGTGTTCTACTGGATTTCTTCCAGCTGTAATGTATAGCTGTTTTTGGAGGTACTGAACTATGTAGTAAAACTGCATATATTTCAGAATCTGGTGCCTGTTTTAAACCATTAGAATATTTTCTTTGCTTAAAACAAGGTGGAATAATGTCTTTGATATTCTTCAAGAAGTATTAAAAGTTATTTGTGCCTAATCACTGTGCACCCATGGTGAGATGTAACTTTAAAAATAAAAATACGTGAATAGGTAATTGAAATGGACAGCTAAGTGAATTATTTAGTACACTTCTTTGCCTTTCTGGTATTTTTAAATAGTATTTTGCAATTGACTAATTGAAAAATCTTTAAATATCAGTTCATGCTTGCTTTTGCTTAAGACTTCATCCTCAAATCTTGGGGAAAAACTAGCTCCAGTTGCCAAAACGTGAAACTTCTGCTAATGCTTTATTGTGGCTACTGTCAAGCTTATGCAGCCATACTGTAGTTATGAAACAACTCATTTGCATCTTTTTGGAGTGTTCTGCCAACTTTCGGCCCTAGAGCTGTGGTCTTTGCCATAGACCATAACTTTTCAGGTATGTGTGAAGTCTGAGACCTTCCATCGGTTCAGAATCATAATTGTTAATACAGTCACTGATCTCTGAGCCAGTAGAGTTCTGGAGTTTTGGTATAGTAATACGTTTTGTCTGCCACACTTTGATTCCTTCTGAATCAAAATAATAACCTGCTTTTCTTCTTAGTAGTTTTGAATGTTTAGGGTTGACAGAAAAGATTATTGGAATACAAAATTTTCTGGAGAAGCATGAAATTTACAGCTAATTAAAATCTATTTTGAGAACGTACTGGAAGATATGGCTTCCTATTCTGGATTTAACATTATTCAAAAAGCACTGATACTGCTTAAGTGTTACTACTGTTTAAAGCTTGAAATATACTCTTAAGTGTGTGATATTGGTACTGGTCAAAGATCATCTTTTCTTTTTTAGGTATGCATTAATGATGATCTTGTCTTAAAGAAGTTTGCTCATTTTGAGGAAGCTAAAGAGAATGTTCACAGTCCAACAAAAGAACAAGATAACCAGACATCTTTAAATGTTGATTCTCCTCCAGTAGAAATTGTTAATCCAGCACTTGCTTTCAGGCTAGTGTGGTTGCAAGAGAAGGTACCAATGAAACTTGAAGCAGGTGGGGACACTATGTCAGAAACATGCAGTATGTTGTACATTTCTGTCTCAGTTTGAATCCAGTGATCGAATCAGTGTTGTTAATGACAGGTGTTTGACTTCACAGTCATCATATCACCAGATGCAGGAATACTTTGAGCTGTTCTTTTTTTTTGTAGTGCATAAGACAAAAACTGTGAGTTGTATTGGTGTTTGTTAATGTGCTTAATAGCATTAGGTATTATTGAAATTAGTTGTTTGATGCATTACTTTTGCTTTTGCATTTGAATGGGTTTATTTTAAACAGAAGTAGTTGTAGAACTGTAGGATTTACGAGTTGTGCCACTTGTAGTGATTCAAGTCCATTAGAAGGTATGCAATTTTCCATCCTGATGGAGGTTTTTTATTTATATTTTTTTTTTACTATTAGCAAATGACAGAGGAATGAAACAAAACCACTGGTAACCGTGGCTGTAAATAATAATAGCGGTTTTTCATGTGTTGAGATAACTTGAAAATTTCTTCTTCCTAGGCCATACTGCTTCTAGTTCCTCTCTTGAAAAGACATACAAAAGATCAAACATGGATCTCAATGAAAATAATGAATATGTAAGTATTGTTTTGTAATAAATTGTCAAAGGTGAATTTGATTAAATGTACACCAGACAGATAAGGAATACTGTGGTCACCTGTCCAGTTCTTCTGCATAACTTAAGTCTGTGAGACCATGCTAATTCTTCGTATAGTTGAAGGAGAATATTCTTTCTTTACGTGGAGGAACATTTAAAACAAAACAAAAAACTAAACAAAACAAAATCTGTAGGCTTGAAAAGATTCTGCCTTCTTTTTACTCTCCTTTGCTGTGGTTTTATGAAGGTGAAGCTGTCTACAGTAGGACTTCCAGTTTTCTGAAAATGAAAGAAGGTGAGCTTTAGTTGCTGTCCTGAAAACAAAGTAGTCATTATGCTATAGCATGGCATACATTCCTGGAGTTATTCTTATTTGTTCTTTAGGACTTTTTATGTCTAATCTACTTTCTTGCTTTTTCTTTTTTTTTACTTGCTGTTGTTTTGTTTACTTTGTTTTTGTTTACTTGTTGTTTTACTTGCTGAGCTATTTTAAAGAGGTCAGCCCATGAGTGCTGAGGTGGTTACTGGCATAGTTGAAGGTAGTTAAAATATCAGTGAGAGGAAAGGAGTATGAATCCATAATTCTAGGCAAATAATGACTGGTAATGGGTCCTCTTTCTGCTTTTCAAAGAGTGAATGTGATGTCTTTTTGTCATTTTATGCTAGGTGATTTAAAGAGAAATTTACTTTCTGATAGCAGTGCAACTGGCTCTTTAACCAGCTTGGAGGGAAAAATGAGTTTCACAGGAACTGTGACTCTTTTTTTAAGTTTTGCTGAGTATTGCAGGGTGACAACCTCTACAGAACTTAAAGTGAAATACCTAATTAAGAATTTTTTGGGGGGAGAGGGAAAGGAAATAATATTGTTAGCAGTAGATGATTATCCTGCTCTGCTTCTGTAACATTCTGTGAATGGCCAGCTGAACTGTCTTTTACAACTACTTGATGTTATGTTATGTATTGCCTTCAATACTGCCTTCTACTCATATGATTCCAGACATCTCAGAACCTTAGAGAAGAACGAAGCTTTGTCTTTCTTAGCAACAAAATTGAGCCAACTTCAATTTTGGAAAAAGCACCACTTCATGATAATCTGAAAAAGGTAACACCAATATCTGATTTTTATGCTGCATTTCTCCTAACAAATGTGTGGTGTTCTCACTTTATAAACTAAATATGCTACTATAATAATACTTTATTTTGATTGAGGGATGTCTTCACATGTTTTTCATGTGATAAAATAAATGAAGTTTTAAAGAGATGCTGACAGACACCTGTAAGCATCGTGTAGGTTTCTGCTGGCATATTAACCATTAGTCATGTCATTTTAATGTAGTAATTTAATTTTTTTTTTTTTTTTGTATTCTGTGTTAAGGATATTTATTGTGAAATGGATCAGGAAGCTCTTAAATGCACTCCATGTTCTGTCTGGTTTTGTAAATTAATGTACTGTTTTCACATGGAACTCTTAATGTCTCATTCTTTAGGAACTTGCTCAGGATAAGTTTTTAGGCCCTAACTTCGCAGAATCTTACTCTTGGCCAGCAATAGCTCGAGGATGTGACGTACTTACCATCTCCTATCAAGGAAATGACCCTTTCTTATATATTCCACCAGTTCTTACTTTCTTGCAAATGGAAAACTGCTACAAAGCCTTGCCAAAAAGAAGTGGAGTATGTATATATTAAAGTACTATCAGATTTTCTGTAGTATAATAATGCAAAAAAAAAAAAGTAGTGGGTATCCAGAATGTACTTATCTAATGTGATCTTCATGAAGTTTGCCAGTTTATGTAAGTCTTCTGCATAAAAGCTTACATAGTTGGACTTGGTGAATACAACAGTCAAAGACATAGCAGGTAATACTTAACAAGTGATTATTGTTACATCACTTTGATTCCTAGCCTTTATTCTTATAGGATTAGCCTGTTTTCACTGAATTTGTATTGGTTAGCTGTTTGAAATACTGGATATTGTTCTGTATTAAATCTCAGAAAAATAGAACTATTGAAGTTGTAAAGGTCTTCTGTGGAGATGATGTAGTGCAAACTAAGATCAGATGATACTGCTATTAAATTTTTAGACTTTTATGCTAGTTACTGCATAGTCCTTGTCTCAGGGTAACTTGGTATATGATTCCTTGGATCTGTAACATCTGCTTTTATTGGATAATGCAATACTACAAGTTCTGTTTTGGAAATGCTTGAAGGCTTGTTTTTCAGACTTCCTTTGCTATAAATGTTGTGGTAGTTTTAGATAAAAGCTGAGAATTGTAAGTAATACAATGTAAATTGTGTGTATACATATGTAGCCACTGGTGCTTATTTTATGTCCTGGTTGGAGGAAGGCACAGCTTGTTTTTGAGTTACTGCAAAAATACAGCAGATGCTCCAGACTGAGTTGTCCAATGTTGATAATACTTGGGAAGAAAAGAGAAGAAGCTGAAACAGTGAAAATCCAAGGACGTAAGAATATTTTTTATTTTCTTCATGATGCTTGAAAACAACGCGGGCTGTATTAATGCCAGGAAATTGTGAAAGAAGTAATTAAGTTACTCATTTGTAATAGTCTACTGTTTCTTTACTGCTGTTTACTGCTGTAACTCCATAGTGATATGTCTGAAATTCAGTACTATTATTTAACAGTAAATTATATTAAGGCTGTTTTACTACCTCCATGTCTTTTTTTAATGAACTCCATGATAATTATTTTTTCACCAGGTTAGGATTTCATGAAGATTATGCCATATTAGGATTGATCACAGACTTCCTTGATTTGAAACTAAATTTGTAATAGCATTTTGTTGATACCTGAGCATCTGTTTTTATAACCTTTATTCAAGTTTATGTGCCTGGTAGATGAATTAAGATGTCTTATAATACCTGTTCATATGTTTGCACATATCAGGATTGTGTGTTTAAGTTACAATATGTGTTTGATTCCTTTTTTTAACTTTTTTTTTTCTAATGGGGAGGCTGCTTTTGCAAGCAGTTAAACGTTTAAATTCTGCATGTCTGCTTCTGAAGCTTTTTTTTTTTTTTAATGAAAGCTTATTGGAAAATGAAGTGCTATCCTATTTCATTATCTTGTTACATTCAGGCTTCTCACGTTTTCTAAAATCCTGTAGCTTCCTGGTATTCAGTTTTAAGGAGCAGATTTTCTGTATATCAGTTCAGGTTTGACATCTAAGAGTAGATATCTTAACTGATCTGTTACAGAAGCTTTTCATTCTTATTCTCCTGGAATATGGGTAGAATCATAAAGGTTAGAGAAGGGTACTTGAAGAAATGGTTTAGTGGTCTTGTGTTCTTTAGTGTTTTTACTTGTATTCTTTGAGGTTACAAATCAAAACTAATCACTTTTTTTCCTCTAACATGTAGGTGAAATAATTGTGACTACACCGTACAGTCTCCTGAGATTGTATAAATATCACCTTTCCTTGTTTTCTGGACTTTGCCATCTTATTTTGGATGAAATTGAGGTACTATTCTCTGAAGCTGCTGAACAGGTAAATAGGTTCTGATGGTAAAATGCCTTTCAGTTCTAATGCCCCTAGCAATTTTGAAGACAGTGGATTGTAGTACAGATACCAGCTTTCTTCAAACCCTGTGGTAGAGTTGAGAAAAGACAAAGGAATTAGAAGTAATTGTATATGTATGTACAATCAATGAATGTACAGATGTTATAGTTATGAGGCATACTAGAGAGCTTGCCTCCATAGCTATTACACCAAAGCAGAAAAGATAGGATGCTTACCCACATCTGGGGTCGCTTGTGAAAATCCAGCAGAGAGGATCTCCAGAAGAGATCTTCTCCACTGGCAGTCAGCTCTTAAATGGATCTAAGAGAGATGCAGCCAGGCTCCACCCCTTCTGGCAGCACAGATGAATTGCCTTCACCTGTGCTCCTGTGGCTGACTCATTGCTTGCCTCAGGTGGTCAATCAGAGGTTCAGGCCGTGATTCAGCAGTTCCTATGCAATGTATTTCTGGTAGATTGAAACACTGGAGAAGTATTTTAATAGTCTTACAGTCTGTTGTAGCAGAAATGCTAAGTCATGGCTTGAAGCAGTGATTGAGCACCTGGTGGGAAGGCAGGGGCAGCTCAGGGGAGGTCAGTGTATGCACCTGAGTGACCAGAAAAGGTGGAGCTAGGATGCACCCCTTCCCAGCCCTCATTTAAGGGTTGGCAGAGGAGGTGAAGGTATCTCTCTAGAGATCCCTGCATACCTGAGGCCTTCCAAGGGTAACATAGTTTTTCCTTTGTTCCTGTGTTTGTGGCTGCTGCATTTGGGCTTATCCTCGCTTGCTGCAGCTTAGGGTTTGCTGCCCTGCTATCATTGCTGTGCTTTGCATTGCACTGTAGCATTACATCTATTAATCTAACTTCTATTAATCTAACTTAGTTTTTGTATTTTTTTTGTCTGGTTGGGTTTTTATTATTATTTTTATTATTATTTGGAAAGCTGTCGTCTTGTTTGATGTCACTGCACCATCATGCTTTCTTCATTTGCTGAGAGTGGTCTCCCAAACATTTGGATTGTTCCCATTTTGTTAGCAGTACCTTCTGTGTAGGAGTCCTTTAATCTCCTTTTAAGACGTGCTTTTAAATGCATCCTCTGTCTCTAAGGAACTTTCTCTTCCCTCTTACCAGTTAATGACATTCTTATCAGATTTTATGAACAGCTGTAGTTGTAAGCTGTTGGTAAGATCCTCATTTCTTGTAAAATGAAAGGCAGAAGTGAATGACTACATACTATATAGGAAAGACTTCTCTTGGGCTTTGTTGTCACTGTTGGCAAGGAGAAGCTGGTCCCAACGTTAACAGGACCTTAGAAGAGGAATAGCATTAAGTTCCCAGCTAACTAGGTTGCATATGCATCTTACCAGCCTTTGAATAACCTTTTTATCTTAAGGTGTCTTTTACTTTTATCAAGGTCCTGTTGACTTGCAACACTGGAATATTCTTTTTTTTTCCTAGTAGATTTTTTGTAAAGGATTTAGCTTCTTTGGTTCTTAGCAGTGTTATCTGTGATCAGTTAGTGCCATCAATTTGCGAGAGGGTGTAGGTTTGTATATGTGTGAGCACGATTGCTTCGCTTTCTTTTCTCACTTTCTGCTGACTTCAGAAGGTGTTAAAATAACAGGGTGAATGCACAGAAACCACAAACTTTGTTTTGGGTTGTGAAACTTGAGTCTTGGAGGTGGTGTGGAGGTTTTTGGTGGATGTAGTTTAGTTTGTGACAGGAAGAGCGGAGCATTCTCTGCTTTTACAAACTCATTGGAATTAGATAAGATTGTAAAACCATTTTTTGTTTTATAGGTTTCTGTTATACTAGGTTACTACAAGAAAAATCTCGTTAATGAGGAATGGAAGTACTCACCACATCAAATTATTGCTGTTGGAACTCAATGGAATAAGCATATAGGAATCTTAATAAAGGAATTCATGAATGATCCTTACATTGTGATAACAGCTTTGGAAGAAGCTTCCATTTATGGAAATGTGCAACAGGTAAAAGCTTGGAGCTGATGTAATTATTTGTTAACTGAGCCATTCTGTTGTTTATAATGACCAAACAATCAATTGTTTATAATGATCAAGGGTTTTTGTTTGCTTTGATTGGATAGTGCTGGAATTGCAGTTCAGGTTGCTCAGGTGTGCCTCCCACATATAAACTGAGGTGATTCTTAAAAAACATGCAAAATAATCTCTGCAGTAGGTGAATGTGATTTAACTGTTTTCCTAGGACTGAGGTGAAGATGTTCCCTCAACTATGCACTGTAATGCATATAAGTCTGAATTTTATGTAAGCATTTGCAAATCATATTTTATGACCAAAAAACCAAAAATTGGAAAGTTCTTGCACCTGTTGATTGTGAGTGGCAGAACTACAAGGCAAGTCTTCCTAAAATACAACTTGTAAAAATCAATTTCACTGTGGCATGCCAGGCAGTGAAGAACTTACTTTTCTAAATCTTAAGTCAAGAAGATATTAAGAGCTCTTAGATGTTTGTTAATTGCTGGGAAACCCAGTGGAGCCCTTAAAACCTTTTATATTGTTATTTTTATGTGCAGCCTGAATTTCACTGTACCTAAAAATGATTAAGAATTGGAAACTTGAAGAAACTTGCAACATTAGATATTGAAGTCCAAAAGAAGAGACATCCCTTCCTGTGAGAAGTCTAATAAATGGTTGAGCAGAAATGAAAATGTGGGCACTTTCGTGCTTTATGTAATAGAAGTATTTCAGGGAGTGCAGCATGCTTTTAAGCATTGGTTTAAAAAATTAATTTTTTTTCAGTGGTACTTGAAAATGTCAAAGTTCAATTGAAGAAATCATTTAACATTGAATGATTGAGAAATCGGAGCTGAGAAATTAGAGCTGTAATTTTAATTGAATGTTTTTATCAAATGTTTAAGTATTAAGATTTTAATTTTGTGAAAATATTCTTCTGGAAGCTGTCTAAGTTTATCTCTGTGAGAATTGTATTTTCTGTAAACTTTAGAGCAACCATTTACCTCTTCTATTATGATGTATGTACGGATGCACAGTACTCGTTAAAAGGACTACATCTTATGTAGTAAGATGTGTATAGATTATATTAATTAGCAGCCATCTATTTTATATCGATTTCTAGGTTGTGCAGCATTGTGTGAGCAGTGAGAGAACTGCTGTGTTACTCAAAATAATGGATTTTACTCCTAATAATCTTCAGAAGGTGCTGGTTTTCACTAATTCCATAGATGAAGTAGAAATAGTATATCAGGTAACAACAAAGTTCCTGAATTTATGTATATGTTTTATTTGAATGTCTGAGAGTTAAATTTCACTCTTCACAGATGGCACTACTTTAAGAAAAAAAAAAAAAAGGGAAAAAAAGATATTTGTCAATGCTACAGATGATTTTTAGAGAGGGAGTTTCTAGTAATCACTGTATATTCCAGCTTTGCACATCTTAAATGACATACAAAAGAGTGCAAGTGCAATTATTCAGTTCCATGTGGTGGCCAGCTTTAATACTTTTTGCTTTGTGCAGCAGATGATTAACTTCATGTTCAGTATTTTTCATATAAACAACCTAAAAACTTCACTATTTTTCCTCCTTGCTTTCAGTTCTTTATGTTAGCAAGGGTATGCTTGATACTAAGGTAAATTACTAAGGGTTTCTTAGAGCAGTTATCACTGCATTGGAAGAACATGCCATTTTTATTTTGTCATCAGGCACTGAAGAGTGACTCAGTATTTGTCTTCAAAATACATAAGGAAATGGAGTTTAATTTCAAGGATTTCTTGGAGCATTGGACAAGAAGCTATAGCAGTGGCAGTCATGTTGTATTAGGTGGGTACTTTATTGTTTTCTGGTTGTCTGTTTATTTCTTCATGGTGACTTGATGTCCTACATTAAATTACACTATGTTATATTATTATATTATTATATAATATTTTATTAGGGTTCTCTTCACTTTGCCAGGTCAATTCTGTCCAAATTACTTTCAGTTGTCTCTTTATTTGTTAGTTCTATGTCTATTCTAATATTTTTTTCTCCTTATGAGAACTTTCCTGGTTTCATGATTGTCTGCTAATGCAGAGGATGTTTTCAGTTTGAAATTTGGAACCTCTCAAGTCATAGCATAATTATTTCCCTTATGTTCTGGTGGAGCTTTTACTTTTTGAGTTGCTTGCAATTGCAGAGACTCTTACCTGGTCTTTAAACATAATTTTCTCCCTTTTATACGTCAGAGCAAGAAGATGAACTTAATTGTGTCTGGTTGATAGGTTTATACAAAGATGTTAACGTTTCTATGTTACTGGAAATGTTTTCAATCCTACTCTAGTGAAATATCTGTCTGTGGCCTATGGTATTTCTTCATTTATACTGTTACAAGATGCTGAATTGAACTAGAGGTGATGTAATACTATGTTCTGTATACTTGAAAAATGTTAACTGAAAAAAGTAGTATCATAGTAATCTATATAAGGAAGAGACCTTACCATTAAGTCAGTGGATGAGGAGGAGGAAGCAGCCATTGCAAATGAGGTGTGTAAAGCATTACATCACAAGTATGTCGGTTACTTTATGTGTAAATCATGTGTTCAGTTCTAACAGATGACTGCATGCAGTTCTTGGAGATTACAGATGCGTCTTGTGTGATACATTTCAGTTTTCCTTCTTCTCCAACAATCTTCGGTCAGCGTCTACACAGCATGTCTGACAACTTCCATAGTATGATAAAGGTTTGAGTGAATCTTCAGCAAATTAATATTAACATATGATGAGGTAGTAGTGGATAAATAAATGCTGAACAAATGTGTATTTTTAGGAATCATCTGATCAGGACCATCGACAGGCAAGGTCAGTCATAATGCTAACAGAAAACAGTGAGTGCCACACTGTTGGTATCCTGCGCTATTTGGAGCGTGCTGAAGCTGACATTCCACCAGGATTGGCTGGAGTGCTAGAAGCTGAAGAAAAGAAGAAATTTGCAAGGCCATTGTGCACCTATCTTAAAATGTTTGGGACTTGCAAGTGAGTACGTAATATATTATCCTGAAGCTTATGCCTGAATAATGCCTTAATAATATAAAGTGCCCTGAATATAAATAAATAAATATAAATATAAAAGTGCCCTGAATAATGGCTTAATCTACTTCCTCCATGAATTATCCTGTTGGGTACATCAGATCAGATTTTACTCATGGTTTTTTTTAATGTAGGAATAGAACAGTATGTCCAGATCGTCATCAAATTAATTCACAAATAGACATGCTCCAGAATATGGCATCTAAAACTATACAAACATCTGGATATGTGACAGTGAGTTGTTTTAATTTTTCTTTGTCTTGAGTACTAAGAAGGCAGGTCTTATGTAGCTGCTTCAGCATAATACTTTTTTTTTTTCTTCAAATTATATTAATACTATTGCAGTATGTATGTTGTATTTCTGGAATATTTTCTCTTGTTTAGCTTTTTTGGTCTGTCTGTTGAAGGGGTTGCAGAATCAAGTATGCCATATTTTTTCTTTATCCTTAGTTTGAACTGAAATTGTTTTGCAGGTTATTCAGGCTTGGTGTCTGATTTACTAGTGTTAATGATGAGATTTTTATCCTAGCTTTCAGTGTGAAGAGGGTTTATGTTATGTTTGTTCCGGTACGTCTATATCACGCATCTCATTTTTCAGAAATAATCACTCTTCTTTCCCTACCCCCCCAATTTATGTTTTGCTTTCAGGTGCTTCCTCTCCACGTTGTAAATGCAACAAACTACTTTGGTCGTATTGTAGATAAACAGAAGGATCAATATATGATTCTTGCTGAAGAAATCAATGAATATTTTAAGGAGACTAGTAATAGAGTTGCTGCTCAAAAGGTAGAAAAACTAGCTTTGTATGGATTCTGTGAGGAAACAGTCTTTCACAGGTAACGGTGTTTTTTATTTATTCATGTATGCTTTTTTAATATATTAAAAATGTTCAATGTTTGATTTAAAACAAACAAACAAACGACAAAAACAACAAAAACACAAAAAACAAACCCTGCCTCCACACCCTGTTCTGAAAACAGCAGGAAATGACTGCAATACAAATCAGTCTTTAAAACAAATTTTAAAAAGAAGTGTGATTTGCCCAGTGGAAAATCCAAATACGTATCCCCATAACCAGTTTGATGTTTGACTGTGAGTTTTCTCTTTTTTGTGGAAAGCAGATGAATACTTAACGGATTGTATGAATATTAATTGTTGTCTTCTTCCACTATGTGAAGGGTCCAGGTGGTAGAGACTTCTTCAAAAGAAGAAGGAAATTTTAACATCAAAATCAAATACGTAGATGAAGGCAGAACTAGTCAAGCTCAGAGCTCTCAGCTTCTTCACTTACCTGCAAGATTTCAGCATCTGCCACCTCAAGCTGTGGAATTTGTAGTTTGTAGAGTTAAACCCATTGATAATGACACTGAGTGGAACCCAAGGGTAATAGCCATTGGTTTTTGTCGTAGTATTTTCCTGAAGTTCTTTAATTTGTGTGTTTATTTTCTATGAGAAAACAGTTATGAACTGTGAATTTAGTTAGCCATTTCATTATTTATTAATGTTACGAATGAATAACTGATAGTAGGCTTGATTCTGAGAAGCTCAAGTTACTATTTTGTTGGCTAAGAAAAATAGTGAAATTCTGGAGTTTTATTATATGTGATTTTAAATCACATCTTCCAGAACAAGTTATTGCTGCTTTCCAATCTGTGGGGAGAGGGACAGCCTCTAAATTGACTTGTTTGCATATCCTTCCGCATACCGAACAATATGCACACAGAGTCCATGGTGTGGTTTTAGTATTTTGTTACTCTGCTCAAAATCTTGCTTTTATTTAGTGAATGCTCTTGTCGTTAAGCTCAGAAGGCTTTCATTACAAGTGAAATTACTGCCAATTTATGTTGCTGTACATTTCAAAGATGATATTGTTTTTCCTAGGTGACTCGTTATATTCATCAGAAAATTGAAAGGAAACCACATGAAGCAAAGGTAGTACTTACTCTAGGAAATACAGTTTGGATTGACCCAATGGTATGTATAGTTGAATGTTTCTAACAGTGCTCCTTTACAACAAGAGTATTCATTTGTATCTGTCCTTCTGTTGGTTCCTATTTTGATTTTAATTAGTGTTATTTGTGTGTGACTAGGAACAAAAATAGACTGAAGGTTGTATGCTCTCTATTGCTGGATGTACTAAGAAGCCATCTGGATATCTTGTCCAGGTGGATATACTCCAAGATTGTTTTCAAGTATCTAAGATCTGTTATGTTAGGCTTAATTTATTCTGACTATATTTCTAAGCCTTTACTGTCACTTCTGGTTCTTGCACCAGCGAGGAGTGGGACAAAAGGGAATGTGCTACTTGTTCACCCTGAGAATGATTGATTGTTGTATAACTGGTTGCATTATGATTTTTATTATTCAGTCAAAGTTGCTGATCGCTTTCAGATTTGATCTTTTTTAATTACTTTTTCAGATGTGATGAAATTATTTTTTCTGTCAAAACTGACTTTTTAATTTTCCTGAAAGTAGCATGTTGAGGTCAGTGCTATGTTCATATTTTTCTATCAATTCCATGGCCCATAAGAATTGCTGGACTGGACTGGAACAAGCATCAGTGCTGGAAGTACTGACTGGAAAGTAATAGCAAGCAAAGAAAATTAGAAAAATCAGATGTGTTTTATGCCTTTCCTAATGGCATAAACAAATGTGTTGTCTGTCGAAAATAATTGTAAGAGCTGGGAGTTCTATGAAGAGTTGCTATCAAACATAGCTCAGAGGTTGCAGAATCTTTTTAAGGTCAGGAGATGTTGATGAGGTATCTCTGTATGTCAGGATCGTGATGCATTTTTTTCTGTTTTGATTCTGCTCAGGAGTACCCTAGGCTGTTTCTGCACACTGACATGTTCTATGCTTTGTTTTCCTGTCCATTCAATGAACTGAAAAATTGAACAGAAAGAGAAAATTATTTGCAAGTGATTTTCTTCCATACTTCCTTTCTAGTATGGCATCTCAACTTTTCCTCTTGATTTTTAGCTTTTGTTTTTGTTCCCCTCCATAAACTGAAGGACCTAAAGATGCAGTTATAACTGTATGGTGTATATTTTGGTCGTAATTTCTGGAATCATTTCTAGAGCTTTTCTATTTACTTACTGGGTTGATTCTTATACATAGACCAGCTGTTATTTTGAGAATATTAGTAAGTTATTCACCATTTGAAAAATCAGAAACAAATGGGCAAATGTCTAAAGTTTTTAGCTAAACAATAGCTTAGAGTTGGAGAGATGCAGTCTGAGCTGTGGTTTTTATGTAGTACATTTTGTAATTCCAGGTCCGGGTTACCAGGCTTTCAGATTTGAAGATGTATGTCAATGAATACAGCGTGCGATCCGAGATTTTGTCTACAGGTCTGGGAACTGATAATCCAGAACATATATTGCAACTTCAGAAGTTGTGTGAGCACGTGAAGTTAAGTCATACAAAGAATTTGGAGCCTTTGTGAGTATTTCCAAGTTATTTTCGGCTAATGTTTTATTAGGAAAATAACTGGATATTTACATTATTCATTGGAGAGTATGATTTTTTATTTAAACAGATGATATTGTTTGTGATATCTGCTCTCATCTAACTAATTAGGGCACTACTCTTTAATGAGTGGGGTTACATGATGTTTTAACTCAGTACACATTGCTGTTTAAAAAATTCTTAACTGAGTAAGGATGTAGTGTGGAAGGGCACGTCTTTCTGTGACTTGTCAAGGATTCCAAGATTCTTCATTTAAAATGCATACGATAAAGGCATTCATAGTTGTGGTTTAATCTGGCAGGTGGCTAAGCACTACACAGTCATTTGTTTGTTTTTCCCTCCACTTCCCAGTGGGATGGAAAAGAATTTAGGAAAAAAAAAAAGTAGAAATCGTGGATTGAGATGAAGCTATTTACTAAGATCAAGAAAAGGTTAATTATGCTAAGTGTGTGTATTTATAGATGTATATTGATTAGTGATGCACAAGCAATTGCTCGCCAGCCCCTAGCAGATGCCTTGCTAGCTCCCCAAGCAAAAGAAGAGTGAGATATGAACTCTCCTTTCACCCCTCGACTCCCTTCATAACTCCTTCTGCATGATGTCGTATAGTATGGAATATCCCTATGGCTGCTGTAAGTCAGCTGTCAGAATTCTGTTTCCTCTCAGCTCCTTGTGCCCTCTGAGGCAGGTGGCCTTGGCTCTGTACAATTGCTGTTCTAAACATTGGTGTGTTATCGTTTTTGCCCTAGAACCAAAACAGCATCGTATCAGATGCTGAAGAAAACAATCCTAGCTAAAATTAAGACAATAACTTGGTTGGTTTTTGTGTAGAAGTGCGTTTTAAAAGTTCTGCACTATTTTCCATATATGTTAAAATTAAAAACTTAGAGTTTCCAACTCTCGTTAGGAATCCTTTGGATAGTTAACATTTTCAAACACTTCATTTTAAAAGTATGTCTTCCTGTATTCAGAAGCATAAAGGAGGATGCAGCTAGTCCTGAAAATGTGTCTGCGCTGCAGGATGTGTCCCTAAAGGAAAATTCTTCAGAAAACTGTAATTCTTCTAAAGTGACTATGGGGAGTCATCTGTGTGGTAAGCATTCTCATCACTTTCTGAAAACTTCTTAGACTTGTTCTCAAGTTAAGACTTTTCAGTTAACAGTGCAGACTTCTCTGAGTACCCAGGACAAGTACCACATAGCTAATCTTTAGAGTAAGTCTAGTTAGCAGTCTGAAGGTGCTGGGTGAATGAGCCATGTTAATATAGCTGTTTCACTACTTTGGGTATTCATTGTCCTTGAAATACTCAGAATTGTTAAGCTCTGGAACTTAAAAGTAGTTAAAAATAGTTAAAAGGAGAGGATGAACATTTCGCTGTCAAAGGCCAAAGCATTGGAGGAAATTAAAATCCGCTGGGATATCCAAGCTGAATTACAGCATTGTTCACTGAGAAGTCTAACTTTTACTATATAGATTCAGGATGGTAGAAGATAGCTTTTCCTTTTAATCTGGTGTTCAGGGACTTGTTACTCAGTCAGTAGAGGACTAAAAGCACATGGCTTGATGTTAGCCATAGAAGAGGACAGAAAATGATCTGACTTCAGTTGAAATCTCAGTTTGGAGAGATGAGGGTTGACTGATGGGGGGGGGGGGGGAAGGGGGAAGAAAAAATCGCAAGGTCCTGGAATGTCTATTGTAGATTATTTTTGCTTTGTTTACCACCTGCTAATTGGCAGTAATGCCATGTTTTGAGCTGTGATTGGTAGTAATATTACTATTAGTTGTTTCAGGGATCTATTAAACTTATGTTTGGAAGACTGAAAAGACCTTTGTTACCTGAAAAATGTGGTTTTTTTTTTTTTTTTTTTTTTAATATCACCTGTAATTTTTTCTAGTTGAAATTTCATTTGAATTATTAAATTGATGAATTCTTTCTAAGTTGGAGTCATCTGACATAAGTGCTGACGTTGTGCTTATGGTTGTAACCTGATTGCTAGCAAATTAATTTTATAGTGTTACTGGGGTGTTCTGGAAGTACCTGGTTTGTATAGGTAAGTATAGGATATTTTCCTGCATTTCTTATTTGTAGATGGTGTTGCTCAAACTAAGGAAGCAGAAGACTCTTCACTGCATCAGCAGAAATGGTACAAAAATTCAGTCATGTTTCCTTTTATTGTGAACTGCTAAACAGGACAGTTATCCTTACTGAGATTATTTTGGCAGTAAATAGGTATTACGGGTTGATATTGGTTGGATTATGTCTACACCAAATACTATCTTATCTGAGCTTTAAACTGTAGCTCCTACTCTTGTCTCTGCATGTTGGTATTCAATGAGATGAATTGGTTTTGTCTTTCTCTTTGTGTTAATATTCTTTGAAAAAACACAGAATAATGTAAATGTCTTCAACAGGAAATTATGGCCCATTTTAATTCTTTCAACAAATCCCTTATCCCTGTTCCTTGGTAGATAGAACAGTGTATGTTTATTTGCAGTTTCAAGGTTAGGCTATCATACTGTCCTTACACGAGGCAGTATGGTTTATTCCTATGGAATGCAGCATGTCTCCTGACTTGAACTATAACAGGTGTTCTGCTCCAAGGACTGAGATGGCAGTGCTGTTGTAACAGGCTGGGCTGGCATCCTGACGTGCTTTCCTGTCATTGTTCAGTCAGTCTGTTAGGGTTTGAGTATACATACAGGTGCTGTTCATTGGCATCCTGGTATGAGAATCTTGGCTGTAGTTAAGGCAGCTTACTTTCTATTTTTGGACTAACTCAAACTTTATCGTAGTTTCTATCCAAAAATAAAATGGTTTGAAAATGAAGAGGCTGTTACAGTGAAGGTTCGAATAGCAAGGATAGCTGACTACAAATGTGAATTCTCCAAGGAAAAGGTAATTTTCAGGTAAGTTTAAGAAATTTAAGTTTAATAAACACAAAGTTCAGCTGTTGGCTTGCATTTAATATTTTTAATTCCTCTTTTTATAATATAGTGCCTGCTCAGAAGGCAGATTTTACTTGGCCGATATGGAATTGTATCAGTGTATACTTACAGAAAAGTCTGCGTGTGTGATTAAGGATAAAGAGGCTATTATTGTCCTCAGAAAAGAGAAAAAAGGAGCATGGTGCAAGTTACTAAAGAACAAGGTGAAGTGGAAATTAACTTGAGAATCACTGAATGTTCCCAACATGCTATCTGTTTTTAAATTCAGACTTTTTTTTTGTTAACAGAATCCTCATGTGTCTTTTGACTTTGAATACTGGGAAGATGATGAAGACAAAAGCCCTTTTCCAGTTGGTAAGGAATGAACAAATAAGTTCTTATCGTGCACGAAATAATTTGCATCCAGATTTGTTACCTGCATTTTATTTAAAATGCTGAGTTATTTCATATACATAACTCTTGTTCCACTAGAGAGAACCTCTACTAGCAAACCACAGAGAGTGGTTTTTTTCTGTCAGAGTAGCATAGAAAGAAAGCATTTTTGTCCAGTGTCTTGTAGTGTTTTTGTCTAGTCTGTAGCCAGAAGGGCTTCTTCTTGCTTTATGAGTATTATACTTTGTTAATTACTTCTAGGTACTAAAAAGCTGCATTGCACTGCTGCAGTGACAGAAGAACTGGTTGACTTTTCAGAAGACAGTGGTGCAGAAAGTGATGAGTAATTGGGAAATGTCTGTTTTTTCTTTCTGTTAAGGTTAATATTGTAAAGTAGTATCTGTTGCACTCCCAAAATTGATGGAACTGAATGTATAGATTGCAGAATTGTCTTTAATTTTAGGAGGATGATGGTAAGCAAAGACCTTACTTGGGTTCTAAGCATCTGGAGAAATACTCTACATGATAACTTCATATATATGTATTCCAGTGTCTTTACTTCAGAACTTTTGGCTTTAATGATTTTGTGCAAATATGTACATGTATTTACGTTGAAGAGCTTCTAATTTACCTTTCTTAGTTTGCTGTGGTAGCAGTAGATAATTTTTTTGTGGTTTAATAAGTTCTGATGACCGGTTGATTGTTTCTACCACAAGCCTCCATGTGCGTACAGCATCAGCTTTGTAACTGCCTGTTTGTCAGCTCTGCATAAATAAACTCAGATGGCAATCTTCCTTTGACTGCAAATACTTTGACTTGTTATAAAATACAATTCTGTGGTAACTATCATAACTACTGTACAACATCAGTGGAATTGGTGCCATGATAGAATATTCAGTGTTTATTTTCAATTTCATGTTTCCACTTTCCCGAATTCTTTTTCTTATTTCATGCTCTGTCGCTTCTGAAACTCGTCTCGTCTGTGGAATCTTGTCAGCCTATCCCAAAGGCTTTGCACTTCTATATGTAATTTTTCAGTAAACAGTTTTTCACTGTTACATTTGTACACATTTAAAAAAATAAAATAAAATCTCACAGTGATGAACTTGTTTCATGTATTCTGAACAGCTGTTACATTATTACATCTCTTTTCATCTGTAGGTCTTCAAAACATGCTTGTTTCTCCAGTGGAGCTATATGATGGTTTAGGATAGAAATTTTACAGATTTATTTTGAGAATCTAACTTTTGTTGCATTTTTAATGAGGAAGAATTTACTTGCTCTTTGGGAATTTGAGAAACTTCAGCGTGCCCTTGGTAATATCTTTGGGACTGATTTTTTTTTTTTTTTTTTTTTTAATATGCTAACAATTTTTGTAGAATTTGTATATTGTATATCACAAAGATTTCTGAATATTTAACAGAATATTCTGTTCTGATGTGAGTGGAAAGCTGGCGTGTCAATAAGTTGTGGTAGCAGCACTTAATATTTAAGAAACACATAGTCTATAAAATTGTAATACCATTGGGAATCTGATTACAGTTGAGCTTAGTTTATAAGCTTTGCCTGTCTTCAGGATAGATACTGGCAAAGCTGCAGTAGTTTCAAATGTAGTTACCTAGTAACTAATGGATCTGTATTTTTGGTCTTGCACTGCATTGTAATGGGAAGAGGAGACTGTCAAATGACCGAAATAGTGATGAGGCAGGAGGTTTTCCTTCTTTGTGCATGTTGTCTGACTTGTCTGATATCTAAATACAGTATAGGATGGTTATTTAATAGACATAGTAAATAATATCTAACCTTTGTTTGAAAAGCGGGGCACCCTACTTCAGGTAAAAGCAGAAGCTGTCTCTTAGCCCTGCATTCTTAATAGGTTTCAAGAGGCAGTATATGAAGAACAATGTAAAGAATATAGCATTAATTTCCAGAAATGTTATTTTGGCCTCTAGCAATTTCTGATCAGGATTTTCATAAGGATGAGGTTCTCTCTGAAGTTGCTATTTCTTGAGCTGTCAATTCCTAATGTTTCTCCTGCACTGAGGAGCTCAATAGTATTAAATACTTCTGTGTTTTGAAGCCATCCCTACTCTGTTGTCTTGATGTCCTGTACCCTCAAGATGCAATAATAACAAATACCTTGCTTTTCCCACTTCCTTGTAAAGTAAGACATAAGGCTTCTGTTGTCATTTTCCTCTCCACCCCCCAATCAGGTATGTTTTTTAGCCTTGAAAATGATAGTAGATGGAGTCATTCATTATTTAAAAAAAAAAAAAAAAAAGTATTTTTGATTCTTCTCTAAACTTTATAGTTCTTTCATTTGAAGTCATATTTTCCTCAACTAAGAGAGGCCGTAGTAGCAGTGTGAGTAGGACAAAACACAGTATTTGGTATATGTTTCATATGTAATGGAATGAGAACTTTATTTTGCTCCCCATTGCTTTTCTTGGTCATTTTTGAGCTTTTTTTTGTGTTTGTTCTGCCCTGACTGCATGTAGAGATATTTTCATGACCACAAAGTCTCCTCCAAGTTACTCATTGCATTATATGTACTTTTGGGGTCGTTCATCCATGCAGGTAAATGCAAAGTGAGATATGCAGGAATATAAGATTTTTGTTCATTTCTTTGTAGCTTCTGTATGATAGAAAAAGCTTCCTTAGTTGAATTCACTAGGTTATCATTAGTATGAACTTCTGTCATTAAGCCATTTGTTTAGCATTGTTGTGTTATTTATTTAAAATAGTGTACTTAAAAGTTGAGGACTTACCTTTCAGTATTTTGAACAGTCTTTCTTAAAGTAATCACTTAAAAATATTGACAAATTACTTGAGAAAATTCTTTATCTATTTACTGTGAGGGTATATAGTAAGTAAAGGAGATTAACCAAAAACCCATCTGTTTCTTGACCAGAGAAGCTGAAAGCTGCATATTCACATATATAGATGTGGTATCTATTTTTTCAATTTCATCTTTGGCAGCTACCAAAGGGAGCATTTCTAGAATGGTGAAGTTAGTCCTATTAAGTCAAGTCACATTCATGCTGAGGGATAGCTTCTGTTGCATTTACTTGGTGTTCTATTCCTTAGATGGCACAGGAGAAAACTCTCCTGAGAAATTAAGTCTTAATTGATGTCTTCCTCAATCTTCGACTTTTTGGTGATCAGTAAACACTGGTCTGAGAAACTAAAGGTAGTCTGCCTTTTGTCTCTCCTGTTTTTGTATGTCTTGTTGTAGCTGTTGCTGCACATGAGCTGTTGTCTGTACTTATCTGTTCTTTCAGCAGGAAGAAGAGAGGGGTTCTGACCAAATGCTACAGGTAAGTTTTACCATCATTTTAATTGAGAAGTCCTTATTTTAAGTGACACTAGCGCAGAAGGGAAAGACAAGCTTAACGTGTTGGCAAACAATGAAAAAAGCTTTGCTGTGTACTAATTTGGCTTAGAAATCTTTTATTCTTAAATTTAATCTACTTCACGTACTAAGTAGCGTTGCAAAAATGTTGCCCACTAGTATGAACATAGCAATTCAGAAAGTTTAAGTGTGCCCCAAACTGAATGGAATCTCCTTCAACTGATGTAGCACTTAAAAACACGTCATCTCACACCAAATATTTTATTCAGCAACTTCCTCTGGTGGAACAACTTCCAAAAGCATCTGAAGGTGCATAGTGATTGGCTCTGAGAAGGAAATTCATTATTAGAAGCCTTACCAGGAAAAGAAGTACTTATATTCAGATTAATACCATTTTTCTTATTAAAAATATTTTTTGAAGTTGCTGTGTGTCTTTTCATATCTAAAATTTAAATTAAGGGATGGGAAATCAAAACACGCTGAAGTGTTCTAGGTAGCTTGCTTGTCATAGAGTGAACTATTTCTATCTGCATAATTATGTAATAGGTGGTAACTCAGGATGGGGAAACACTTTTTTTTGTATATAGAACTGTTAATTCTGCTTTGTGCAGCTGTTCTCTCAGAAATTGCTGCGTATCACATTTTGAGAGATTATTAAAGAGTTCCTTTTGAGATTAAGCAAAATCATTTTATAAATGATCACACTGCTTGCAGCTTTCAGTTTGCTCAACAGCACTGATTAATATTGGTCTTAATGCTGATGTTGTACTTAGTAAGCGTAATAAAACTGATAACTTGAGCCAACAGCGAAGTGCTGTGTGGCATAAGAATATTTGCTGCTCTCTAATTATGGACTGGAGGAACTTTCTGAAAAGCTAACGTTACAGCTAAAGTAGTTCTGCTTATTTAAAAAGTGCTTCTTTGCGTTACTACTGCGATGTATAGAGCTGCAAACTAAGTTTCTTTGTTGCTTTAAGTTGGACATCCTTTTCTTTTGCAGAAATGGATAAAACACTCTTCAGTGACACGCAGTGAGCTTTACTAACTTCTCTGTCTGGAAAATTGCCTCCCTTTCTGTTTCCTCCACTATATAATTTAGTTGGGGTGGACCATAAAATGAGCTTTGTTGGAGTAGTTACTTTAACCTTAAGTTACTGTAAAGCTTAAGAATGTTCTGTTGAATGGCGATTGAGGAGGTATGCTTACCTGATATTTTTTGAGACCACTTGAACTTGTAATGAACAAAAAGTACATAAAATATAAGTCCACTTAGTATAAATAAAACACAGTACAAATAGGCCAGTTCAGCTGCGGTGATGATTGGTGCCAGTACCAATAAAATGGATATTAATGTCACTATAACTGGAATGACCAAAGGTATCTGCAAGTTAAAAATGATAATAATAATATTCACAGAAATACTTAGCGAGTTGTTTTACCATTCTTATAGAAGTTGCACATACAAGAGGCAGATTTTCATTGCCTTACAACATTTCTAGAACTAGATCTGGCAATTAAAGTAGCAAGAATATGGATAGAGGAAGTCATTTAAAAATATGTTTATATTGCTAATTGCAGTCTAGTAATTCACATGTGTGTTTTAATGGATTTGTGACCTTACTCCAATAGAGTGAACTCTGAACCTGTCTTTGTGTCTGCTGACTGTAGATTCCCGTCCCTGAAAGTCTGAAACGGAACTTCTACTGTAGTCTGTGTGTGTGAAAATAAACATTGCTTGGACACCTTTGGAGACTTCAGCTTTGTCCTGGTGCAAAACTTGAAGGAGCTACAAATAAAGGGCTAAATTTCATGTGGGGCAGAGGCATCTGCCTCAGGGTGTTGTGTAAGTATGCAAACTTCTAGAATTAGTTTATGCTATTTATGGAAACATAAGAAAAGCCATACTGAATGCTGAACTTACCCTGATTGGTCTCTTGAGTTCTTTTCTTTTAAACCTCATAACAATAAGTCCAAATACACTTAAACCGTAAAATATCCAGACCGCAAAACTAAAATAGTTTATGAGTGTGTTAATGTCACCAGGGATAATATAAATAATAGTGATAGCCCCCTAAAAACAAAAAGAAAAGTTAGCATAGCCTATTATAAAAGATTGAACTACACTTGTGTCCCTGTATGGATGTTTGTTTACAGCATTCAGAGCCTGATTTCTGTGTGCTTTTGCTTAAATATTTTGAATACTTGTGAATTGCAGCCACTTGTGTGAAGCTTAAATTCTGTTCTAAGCCAAGACTTAAATTGTATGTACCCATTCATTTTGTTGTTGACTGTCCATGTGGAAGAAGACATTACTTAAATATATTTTTTTGGGTAGTGAATTTACTGGGAGTGGATGGAGCAATAAAATTGAGTTTATCTGGTTTAACCTTTATGTAAGCAGGTAAAGTATAAAAATGTCTAGCTTTATTTTAAAATACTAAGTGTAGAGAAGTCATCTTAAAATGGAAAGGTGTAAATGCATCCTTAAAAGGAGGGAATGCAGCAGGAAGTATTCTACAGGCATCCTGTAAAGTAAAGGATTTGATGCCAATATTTTAATGTTTTTTTAATTTAATTTTCATACTATGGATTCATAGCATTTTGATTTGAAAATTATCTGTGGAATGGAACTTCTCAAATTAAGGAGTTGCTTTTCTTCTGCAGTCTTTTTTTTTCTCCCCTTAATACTTAGCAATATTCGTCTCATCTGTAGTCATATACAGATCCCAATCCCACAGAGATTCAAAGATGTGTCAAGACTGCTGGTAGGAAATTTTCAAAGTGCTTGCTAACACTTTTGTCATAATTTCTCTGTACTTAGGGTGCATACTTACATAAAATATGATAGCAGGCGCTGGTGTTAAGCGCTTAACACTGATGTAAGAGAGCACCTTTAGCATGTGCCCTTCACGGCCTGCTACATAAACAAGTCTGAAAAAAAAAAAAAGGAAAGGTAAGCTTGTTAGTCTGGTGGAGTTCAAGTGGGTTCACTTCTCCAGAAAGAGGAAGGGCACAATACCATTGATCTTAAGATTTGTTTTTATTGTGCAGCTGCATCTGAATTGAGTTTCCTCTAGTGCGCATTGCTATTTCCTTTAATATACAGTGGTACTTAGGGAATATTGCAGTAAACTGAAATAGTGGAAATAACTGATATTAATGCACAGAACTTGAAACTAAATCTGGTTTTAGTGATTAGTTTCACATTTCATTTATCTGGGATTGTTTTGGAAAAAAAATGTAGCGGCTGTGTCTTTTATTAAAGAGTATTTGTTTTAATTTTTTTCCTATATCAAAGAACTACCTTCACAGCCTTCTCAAAGTCTGTACATTCCTATTGTGTTCAGGTAGTATTCATTTTTTAGAAAACAGTAAATAGCAATGTTGAGCAATAGATCTAAAGGAACAGCCACTTTTTCAAGTTCTTGTTTTGACTGTTAATTCTGTAGTCACGTTCTAATTCTTAATCTTTTCTTGTTTGCTTAATGATTAGCTTTAAATTCAGCCAGAAAAAAAAAGCTCTACCTACTTTGAAATGAGGAGGTTTTTTCAAATCTGTATAGCAATTGCTTCTTTGTGCAAAATACACTGCAGCTAGATTTGCAAGTACTTCACAGTTGTTTTCTCTCTATATTTATTCTGATTGAATATAAATACATTATTTTGTTTCACTCTTGGAAATAAAAAGAAAATTAAGATACTTGGAATGGGAGCTTACCTGCCTGCAGTAAAACATACCCCATTGGCAGATCCAATTGTAGAAAAGGCCACAAAGAGAGGAATTATCCAGGAGGCTGGATAAAGGACTCTGTCTCCAAATGTCTGGGATATGGGATTAAAATTAATCACTTTTGTTATTTTAACTACTTCTTGAAATATTAAAATGTTGGTGCCACTTCAAAAATAGACTGTATTTTTAACAATAAAATGTGCATTGTATATATTCAAGAGCAGTTAGCTAGATTAGAACTTGAATTAATTCATGTAAGACTCTATAAGGAAGAGAGGTTTTATTGTCCTGGTGTTTTTGATGCAGCGTATGTAGGAAACACTGGGAGACTGATATGGAAAAAATACAGTGAAATTCAATTCTGTTTAAGACACTTGGTTTGGGGGTGTCTGCAAAACAAAAGATATGATTGCTGCAGAGCACTGTATACATACAACCTACAGAGAAAGAAGTTACATCTTCACTACCATTATTATTCTGAGGCATTATTATGGGTGAACATATGATGGACAAATGTGCAAAGTTTGCAGAGTTTCTGCCACCTTGTTACATTACAGTTTCTACATGATAAATTGGGTCTAATGTAGATACATTGGTCTGCTGCAAGGGAATTTAAATTAAAACTTGGACAGGAGGGGCGTCTTGGATTTTAACAGTAGATTAACTTTTAAGTCAAGCATAAAGAGTTCTACTTCTGCTCAAGTTTACTATCAAAGTATAGTTGCTTTATCCAGTAGCAGGATACTCATCAGCATTGAGCAACAAAGCTGCTTTTAGAGATGCATTCATACAGAGCACTCATTCTGCTGTTTGCTGTGTTACTTTCGTACTGCCCAGTAGCAGTTGGGATTCTCTTCGTCTCATCACTTCGTAGCTAGTTCTGTGCTAGCTTACATAGGTGGTGATCTTTATCAGCACTGTACTTTGGATTAGGTACTGCACCTCTTGGTGGAGGAAAAACAAAGATAACTAAATTCATCAAAATTATGTTTTATAAGATTTTATGTGATTGAGAATTTTTATGTTTTATGTACCTCTTAATTGTGTTATACTGCCTTCTGTATGCATATGAGATGCTCTTTGTTTTTACATAAAACCAACAGTGAAAAATTGCTGTAAGGCACTGATCAGTGGTTTGGGAGATGGATCCCCTGGAAAACGTAGTGAGTGGAACTGGAGGGACAGATGTACTTACACACATTTCTAAAATCTTAAGAATAATATTTACAAAACTTTGTCGATAGTATGTCTTGCAGAAATGAAAAAATGATTACCCTTAATCATGTTAAGTTAAAATTAGATCTAATGAGGAAGTGACCTACAGCTGACTGCTACCTTCAGAATGATAAGGTCTAATCTACTCCTTTTGCATGTACTTGTTTCTTTGAACTACTGGAAAACTGGCAAGGACAAAGTAGCAGCTATTTTTCCTTATACTTCTTATTGCTTATGGGGGAAAAAAAAAAACAGCTGCTGAGCTGTAGCCTTTACAGAATGTTACCTCAAAGACCGCATTACTTTTGCTTGCATTTTTTTTCTTGGGATATGATGAAGCATTTTAACTTGGTCATTGTAAATTATTTTTTTTATTAAGAAGATAACGGGAGTTGGGGAATGAAGGTGTGAGGCTGACTGTTCACAACTAAATTCTATAATTCTATCTTAAATTTACGTGTTGCTTTTTATTTTTTACTGCAGAAGAAGCTCTAATGCACACAGCCTTCTTCAAATGCTTTCTTTTTACAAAATAAGGAGACTTACCACAGCAACTGCCTGGGACTGCAGGAGTTCTGTTGGAGTCATTATGGTGAAATATGAAATGTTTATCAAAATGTAACAAACTGTAACCAGGGGGATTCCAATAATTATAGATAGTGGTAGGTTTCTAAAGAATGCAAAAGTAAGACTTCATTAGCATTGCTGTGTCATTGGCAATGTTACTGCAGTAAACTGGACTCTTTTTCCCCGGGTACTCTTCAGGTTTGTTTACGTTCCTTTACTGTAGAGCAACAGAAATCTGGATTAAAAAAAGAAACCATGTTTATGAAAGGCAGAATATATGATAGCTCTTTGTCTGCTAGTACTCAAAGTTTGAGTAAGCATTCCTTTTGAAGTCAAGCCAAAATATGTGCTTGCTTGTATAAAAATTGAGTTTTATTTTTATTGGTAGAAATACAACTTTCGTTTTTGTTTGTTTTTTTTTTTTTACCTGTAAGGATTCTTCAGTTCTTCTGTGATATAATTGAGTTGATTCCTGGAAATAAAGACATTAATTAGATGTTACTAGCAATCAGATGTTACTTCCTCTTACTGTTTGCCTTTCCAGTTTTAAAAAAAAAAAAGTAAAACTGCTGGTAAAAAAAAAAAAAAAATTATGAGTTTCTTATCCAACTGTGAGCCTCAAGTAACTAACTTTTTCCTCCTTCAAGTTTTGATGCATCCTGCAATTTCAGAAGCGTCTGTATAATTTTGAATTAGATTGTCTTAGCTCCTAGGTAGAATGTCCTGGAATAACCAGAAGCTTCCTTTGAGCTTCAACCTTTGTAATATCTAAATCTTTTCAAGTAAAAGCACTGTTTGGCTGTACCCATTGCAAGGACACAAGTTCAAGTCTACTCATCTTTAACAATATCTCTTTAAGTTATGTTGTAAACACCTTAAAGTGGAGTTTACAGTTTCAGGTACACGTTTTCAGTAGACCACAGACAAGATTAAAACATTTTATTTTTTCTTTTACTCTTCTGCTTCTGAAAACATGAGGGGAAATTCATACTTATAGTTTGCCCAGCAGCTTTTGAAATTTCAGTCCCTGATGGTTTTTGAAGTAATATTCAGGATTTAGGCAGTAGCCTTCCCTATCCTCCCCCCCAAAAAAAACTCTAGGTAAGTATCTGAAATACAGATGTGCACGCTTGAGTTGGGAGCCTCAAGCTTGAAAAGAGAACCTTACAGAGTAATCAATTTAAATCTGGACTGATATTTTGTCTGAATTTGATTTATTTATTTATTTAAATTTATTTTTTTTTTTAATCTTAGATTTGTATCAGCAGAGCCTCAAGCCCAGTTCACTTTCCTGTTAGTTCCAGGAAGTGAAATGTATATTTTCTGTACTGTAGCAGAGATTATCTATATTATAGAGATTATCTATATTCCTCAGGTAAATAAGGTTATTCTGATGAAAGTAATAGAGGAAAAGTAGTCTTCTGAGTTACTGAATATGGATGCTTCATTTAAAACATGAATGTAAACCTAACACCTTCCGTATTTATGATTATTGTCAAACATATTTTCTTTGTATTAGCACAATAGATAACAACAAAACAGTTGAGATATACACTGGGAGCTTCAGGGAAGGAATTGTTGCTACGATAATTGCAAGAAAAGATGTAAAACCATGTGAATTAAAACTTCTGATATTTACATTTTCTTGTACTAATAGAACGTTTCATAAAACATGGACTTTGGGGGTAACCTGTAGAGCTTTTGCCTGAACCTAATGGAATTAGCTGTTTTTATGTCTCTCTCATTACTACAGTATCTAACCATCTTTACACCAAATCAGTAGTCTTATCAGAATCTACTGTAAAATTTTTCCCTAATAAACAATGACCTGTGGGCTTTTTAAATTGAGGATACTGTTTTTTGTGCACAGTTCATTACGAGATTATTTATGAAAATTTAGATGTTAACTTACATCTTTTGAGTTCTAATGGAGGAGAGAGTTAAAGGCTGTTACACTGTAACTGATAACACCGGTAAAGATACCTTACCATCCATCATATGCCCAGAGTCCATTGTAGAATGCCAAACCAATAGAGCTAATAGAAATTTTACTGTCCTTGAAAGAATCTTGAAAGTTTTGGGTTTTTCCTGGAAATAAGATGAATACTAGTGACACAGTGTTGTAATTTGGCTAATCGTCACTAGATGAAGAAAAACTCCAGCATCTCTTGGGTCTTTTGAAACATCTTGTTAAAAATCAATTAATAGAATTTTTATGAACTTACTGGTAGTATTGAAATCCTTACCCCACTTCCTCTTAAAGAAAGTACTGTAGTTTTGAAGAGTCTTTGGGACAGCAACACTGAAGAAAGATAGCCTTATTTTTGTGCCATTTTTTGTCAGTAGGAAATTCTTAAAGATCGTAGGAGAAACTAAAATAATTGTTGGAAGTGAATGTATGTTTGATTACCTTGTGCAAGGAGAACAATCCCACTTATGGCAATGATTGCCACAACTATCATTTTAGCAGCTGTGAGAAAATTCTGGAGATAACTTCCCAGCTTCACACTCAGTGAATTCACTATTGTAATTACCACTAAAAGAAATAAAACATGTTTTGCATTAAATTTGTCAGAGCCGAGAGAAAAGTAAGTTTGAGCATTTTTTCCCTTCCTCCCTTTAATGCTTTTTCCTCATAGGCTATATATGTAACTCACAATTTTTAACGTGAATGATTGATTGAATTAGGTATCTACCTTTAATAACAACAAAATTATGTACATAGAACTGCATTGCATTATGATAATACAGAAATACCTTTGGTAACGTTTTTTCTTCCTTTTCTGCTACAGATAAGTGTTTGTTTTATGGCTGTATTTTTCTTGGTGAAGAAGAAACCTAGGCTGGAAGCAAACCATCTATTTTGCGTGTTGAGTCAGTGAGTCCTTCCCACAGTTACTACCGTATTGTTCCAAAATTAAAATAAATTGCTATTAGTAGTTTAAAAATAATGAATAAAAATTAATATGTTGGTCCAAAATAAAACACTGTTCCACAGTTCTATTCCTTTTAGTGTAGCATTACTTCCTGCTGTCCTCATAAGAATTAATGTACTGAATTCTTACTGTGCTGAAATAGATGAGGATAAACAGAAGTTGCTTTGCAATTATGGAATTTGCCACTTATAAAATAATAAAAAAGTCTTACCAATGGCAGCTGCTGCAAGGCACTTGATGACTACTTGAGGTGGATCACAACCTGGATAAAAGGGAGCTGATGCATATTCTGCAAAGCTGAGACATATGATAGCGAAAGAACTGGGTTTTATGACAAGCAGGCTCGCCCAAGAAAACAGAAATGCTGGTATTGGGCCAAAGGCCTCCATAAGGTAAGGATATTCTCCTCCTGATTTTGTGATCGTTGTACCAAGTTCAGCAAAACAAAGTGCACCTGAGCAGCAAGAAATACAGTTGTTATTTTTTTGTTTGGTTTATACCTATCTTAAACTATTGGCTATTGATAGATAGACTTCTGCAATTGCAGAAGTAGATGTATGTAATGTATCCTTAATTCTTTCATGTTTGTGTACATTTGACTGTGCACATCAGATTTTTAATTGTGAATTGTGAGGATGTGTGTGAGTTTGGGTAAAACACTGAAACTTCAGTGACAATCTAGAATTTACTGTTAGTTGCATTTAAGACTCATAGATCAAGTACAAAGGTTCTGATTTTATTAAGAGCCAACACTTAACATCAGATGACAACTGCAGTAAGTTGATGTACTTTTTAGAAACCTATGGGGAAAAAGATCTTGTTGCACAGAAGAAAAATGTCTACTGAGCTCATCTTTAAAGTACAATGGCACTTTTAGTTTCATTGTGGTAGTTGGTATCTTACTCAGAAATGGTGGTTTTTATGCTCTGTATCTGACGTAAGGAACACCTAATTCCTTCTTTTCCTAATTGAAATATTCTGAGGTGCTTAGTACTAAATTTTGTATGAGAAACTTAGACTTACACAACTATAGAAAAACAGTAGGAATACCAGGCTGCTGCTGATAGATCTTGCATAGTATTTTGCCTGTGACTTAAGTAGGTGTTCTCTTCATTACAATTAGTGAATAAAGTGAACAAAACTTAAATCCTGCTTCAAGAAATAAGCTAAAAATGCTCTTTATGATTTTAATAGCTTAATCTGTTGTTTATAAACAACACATTTATTGCAGTCATCAGAGTATTACTGATGTTAATCTAGGTGCTGTTACCTAATTTCTGAAATGAGTTATATGCAGACACAGAGTAGTAAATTAAATGATTTAAGCAAAAATTCAAACTTGTTGCGTGGACTCCGTTTACCTAGTGTTGCGAGAACTCCGCAGACTGCCCAGATGGTTAAACAAGGACCCACTGCTCCAACATTGGCAAGTACTGATTTTGGAGAAACAAAGATACCTGAACCAATAATTGTGCCAACGATCATACAGATTCCACTAATCAGGCCCACCTTGAAACAGAAGGAGACGTTTTGGTGAAGGAATTTCTAATAACTACTTTTTAGTTTAATATAACAATAGTAATTGACATCAGTGATTTATTGTTGTCGCTTTCAACATGAAGTTTCAGCTAACTAGTAAACTGGAATTTCTTTTCTTCCAAATACCTACATGGCCTGTGGCATGCCAGCTTGCATATTTGTTTTCATAAACCGTACTTTGAATTATGTGGGTCTCAAAATCAACTCTGTACAAATGAGCAATTATCTGTATTTGACTTAACTCTCACATTTTGGTGAAGACTTGAATTCTGAATTTTTATAACTTACAAGACGTGCCTTCTTGGAGGGATTCTATCCTTCTTTAAGCAATTGCTCTACTCTCCTTGCTTCAGGTATTTTCTGCCCAGAAATTACCTTAATATCGATACATGATGAAAAGATCACGTTCTCCAGACCTTGTAGTGATCTGTGTATTAGATAAATCTAATAAAACTTCAGCCTTAAAAGTCAAGGGCATGGGCATCTTAAATTCTCCTTAAGTTACAGCTAGTCTAGTAGCATCAGTATTTTGCCAGTCCAGAATCTTAGCACCTAAGTGAAGCTATGCAGAGTATAATTTTCCAGGTTGCTTAAACTGAAAGATAAATTACACTTCCCTTTGTGAGTCTTGTCAGAGGTAAAAGTGGCATATCTTCTCTGTAAAAGCATCTATCACTTTCTGGAGAAGAAAAATTACTATTTGTCTTCCTGTGCAATTAGCTTTTTAATGCACATATACACTAACAAATTTGCAGAAGCAGTGAGCTGAACCAACCCTATTCAGCCTCTGAGGAGAATTAGTGAAGTTCATAACATTATGCTGAGCTGAGCAATTCTGAAGTAGAAAATACTAAAAAAAAAAATAATTTAAAGACTTGAAAATTATATGTTCTTTCTTTTAATGGTGCTTATATCAGAGCTGTGTACATAGTTAATGAGTTCATAAAATGTAATTCAACCACATCATGAAGAAACCAGTACGCTGTTGCAAGTAAGAGCAGTTTCAACTTCAGTGTGATAATGCATAGTCACAAATACATTCTTACTGCCTCCCCGTGCCAGCCCTTCACATGCACATATTAAGGAGTGGGTGTTGACATTTACCTCTTTTTTTAGGTTCATAGCTTGGGGTTCCTGACTCTGAATGGATTGTCCATCCTCTGTTCTGTTGTCCTGTTCTTTTCTTTTCCTCAAGCTTCCTTCACCCATTTGATTTACTTGTTGAAATATCTGAATAAATTAAAGGACAAAAAACCAGTGTAGTCTCTCTTTTGAATGCCTCTAGGAGACCAGGCTGATTTAATCTTTCACCTAGAAGCCAGCTGCTTTTCTTACTGAAGAGACAATTCCTGATCATTGTTAAATTAGGCCTTTTCCTGATTTCTTGGAGATGCAAGTATGTTAGACCAGGTGTCATTTCCTGTGACTAAATAGCAGCTCTTTGCTTCAGAAAGTGTTGCTGTTCTTCTCTGTGTTGATTTAGAGTGAATGTCTTCTACTGAACGTTATATTCTGTTTAGAATTAGACTGTAAACAATTTGACTTCAAAAAAATTAATTTTAGACTTGGGAATGTAGTATTTTCTTGGGAATTTTGTTTCACACAGCATTAGAATAAAATCCAACCTGAAGTAGTGATGGAAATGGAGGTTAAAATAGATTAGTCCCAATTCCCGCTGTTGATTCAGTCAATCTTCTCTCTCCTTAGACTCTCCACCTGTAGTTGTTAGAACCTGAACCTTGAAGAGAACCTTGAAGATTGTTTGGCAGCTGAAGAGACAATAATTCAGGTATGCTTCGTGTTCAGACAATTCAGCTCAAATCCACTAATTGGCTTCTTTTGTAGCCTTTTAAATTGATGGAATATCCATCTCTGTACTGTTGGTCTTCAGAAATGTTTCTGTTATAGAGAAACCTGGTTTATGACTTAAAGATTTTAATAATCAACATAATCCAACTTAAGATTCAAGCTATAATGGAAAACTGCCCGTGTAAGGAATGTAGGGCTTGGGTCACTGAACTCTTACAGCTTTGTGCCCAATGTTTCTCTTCAAAGTTTTTTGTCTAGAATATGTTGTCATCTTGTAGTAATTCATTCTGTCACTTACCTTATTTGTATTTCCTTGGTGTAATTCAGGGATCCAGGGAGCTCTGTATATTGTTTCTCTTTTCTCCCGTTAGATTTACCAGCCAGTTAGAGAGCAACACAGAAACCAGAATATGCAGAAGCAACAGCAGCTTAAGTACAGAGGTTATAAAAGGTAATCATTAAACCTGTTCTCAGACAAGAAGCTTTGAGATGGGAACCACAGGTAAACCAATAGTCCAATTAGTTTATCTTTAAAACAAAAAGGTTTTTTTTCCATTTGTTAAGAATGTTTGTCCAGTACCTAAGCGTTTTATTATGTAGTGAGAGGAAATCATAATTTAGGTAGATTTTAATTTCATGTCATGATATTTCTGCTTTAGAAACTGTGGAAGATAAACTTGAAGTAATTGTAGTGTGGATGTGTTTAAAAGCATCTGTCCAGATGTTAAGTGCATCCCGTACAAACAGCTTGTTTCATCTTGAGGAAATGGAAAAGTGTGAGCAGAAATCTCTCATTTGTTTTTCATTAACCTGAAGACAGCTGAGCAGGCACCTTGTGTTCCTTTCATCTGCATTTCAAGTTTTCATTTTTGTAGATGTTTAAAAATCTTGCTGTAGGGGTAGAAAACCTGTCTCAATTTCTGTACACCTATATATCCAGGAAAACATTGCTAATACTGTCTGCTGAAACAAGGTAGCTTCATTCGTGGTAGTCATCCTGAAACTACTAGCAAAAAAACCTGTATGTTTCACATCATTTTTAGTAATGCAAGCTGTAAGTCCTAATTAAGTCAAATGTGAACCAACTTCTTTATTTCTACTGTTAAACTAACAGACTTCAATGTGATTAATACATTTTAAGACTTACTGTTATGGCAGTGCCTCAAGAAAAATAGTAGTACAGGATTAGAAATAAGTCCACGTTGTTGGATCTAAATATCAAAACTAGTCAAGAGTTGAGGTTGTCTGTATGTTCCTAACACAAAAACTAATCATGACGTGGAATGAGAGAAGCAAACTTTAGCATTCTGTCCCAGCTGTATGCTCGCATGTTGACAGCCTTTTTTTTTTTCCCCTTTTATTATTCTGTTTAAGCATGCAGTCTTGATCAACAGAAATTCCTGGCTTTTGTAATGTTAATATAAATCTGTGATTAAAAAAATAGACTGAAGAAAATGCGAGACAACCCTATATTGGTTTATGTCTATCATGTTTTGTTATGGTAGAGCCGGTCTGTGCAGCATCCTTTTTTCTGAGACTGAATCGCAGAATCATAGGAGTTGGAAGGAAGCTCTGGAGATCATTGAGTCTAACCCATCTGCTAAAGCAAGTTACCTGGAGGAGGTTGCACAGGAAAGAGTCATTTTTTAGTGCATTTTTTAGTATCTCCAGATATTCCACAACCTCTCTGGGCAGCCTGTTCCAGTACTGCGTAACCCTCAAAGTGAAGAGATTATCCCTCGTGTATATATGTGTTCGAGTTTGTTCCCATTGCCCCTTGTCTTGCTGCTAAACACAGCTGAAAAGAACCTGGGCCCCATCCACTCAACGTCTGTCTTTTAAATATTCATAAGCATTAAGAAGATCACCTCTTCATCTTCTCCATACTGGAGACTCTGGTCTTTCAATCTTCCCTCACAAGGGAGTTGCTTCAGGCCCCAGTCATCTTTGTGGCCTTTTGCTGGGCTCTCTATAGAAGTTCTGTGCACTTCTTAAACAGAGGAGCCCAGAACTGGACACCGTACTCTGGATGTGGCCTGAGCAGAGCAGAAGGGGAGGATCACTTCTGTCATCTTGCTGGCTCTTTTGAATGTATCCCAGAATACCACTAGCTTTCTTGGCCACAAGGGTACACTGCTGGCTCCTGGCCAGTCTGTTGCACACCAGGGCATCCAGGCCCTTCTCTGGAGAGCTCCTCTCCAACAGGTCAGCTCCTAAACTGTACTGTTGCACATAGTTACACCTCCCTAGGTGTAGGATGCTGCACTTACCATTGATGAACCTCATCTGATTCCTTTGCCCAGCTGTCCAGCCTGTCCAGGTCACACTGAATGGCAACAGTGCCTTCTGGTATGTGAGCCACTCCTCAAAGTTTCACATTATCAGCAAATTTGCTGAGGGTGTACTCTGTCCCTTCATCTAGTTCACTGATGAGGATGGGATTGCAAAATAATATCAGTACTGAAATCAAAGCTGTAGCTGCATTTTTGCAGCTATCAATTTTATTTGCCCACTTTATTTTGGTAAGAATTAAAAGCAGGGTTAAACTTCAGGAAAAGCTTTTTCATTGTAACCAACTTGTTCAAAAGTTACCATCTGAACAGCAGAGTTGTGTGCTGTTTTTGTTTGTTTTGCCAACAGAGAATAAAGAATATTAAAGTCAGAATCTTAATTTAAGCGGATGAAAAGTCAGGCATCAACAATTTACTCCTTTTTCTGCATCTGTTATAAAGACTTAAAAATTTATCTTCGTTGTTGTGATTCACTGATGTTTCTACATCTATCAATTGTATATACCTAGCTTTGTATTGAATATTATATAATGTATTCCTGAGTTCTGCAGTGTATTTAGAGTGAGTAATCTTTGAATTTTACATGCAGGTAGATGTTCTGCATCCCTCGATGTTCTCAGATTTTTTTCTGCATCACACTTAGCCTTTATTTTGTTTGTTCAGATACAGTACAGGCAACATTAAATATCTGTTAATTTTTCACTGAGCAATCAATTTATTGAATCAGTATTAAGTAAGCATTTGGAAAGTTCTCATTTATTGAATGGACGTGTTACATTTCTGCGAGTGGCTTGATTTGAGTTAGCCTGTTTACTTATAAAAATGGAGTATATTCATTTGTTATCTATTTTTATTTTAAGGGTTAATCTTCAGATGGTATAGAGCTGTTAAAGGACTTTTACCAGCAATCCTTTTCTGAACCATTTAAAATTAAAAGAAAAACAGCAGCAAAACACAACACTGAGTTCAAGAATTATACTGATTTATTTTTTTTTTTCTTTTTTCCTTCACGGACAGGAGGAATTACATTCTACAGCAATGGGGGAAGACTCTTTCCCTCTCAACTGTATATGTATGAAGAGATCAAGGGGTTCAAATTTCAAGGGACTTCAGAATGAAGCACTCTGTGGGCTAGTCCTGTCAGTGTAGTTTGAACCTTTTCAAATACTGTTTACTAATCATATCATAAGAAGTAATTTTCAACTTGAATTCAGGAAACAGCAAGAAAACAGCATATACATTTAGCTTTTATTACCATTATCACTAATAATAAAGGTTAATGTTTGTTGGGGCTGGTATTTATTGCTTGCAGTACTGCACGTATTCTTTTCTGGACTGGCAGTTCCTAAATGGATGGTAATGACTGTTCTAACTTGGAGGTTTTACTTATAGCTTAGTGGTATCTCAGAATAGATACTTTCCATTCTTACCTTGCTGCCTAACAGGTTACTTCATTTTTATCAGAGGAATAGTGTGTTTACTTGCACTTGCTCTTCTTTGACTCCTGCTGTTAACAGATATGCTCTAAGAAGTTATCTCACTTCTGTTGATCTTAAGTGCATTTCGTTTTTCTCACGAGAAATTCCAGGTATGTTTTAGTGGAATGTAAGAAAACAATTTTTCTGAATAGTTGTGTCAAGCAGGTCATGCTCATGGTTTCAAGTTCCTTGGCTCTTGTGGCAGTCAGTTGTACTGGCTGGCCATACACTGCTGTGCTTTGACTTGTAGCTAGAACAGTTTTGATGTCACAGCAGCGCTATGGCTAGTGCTGAGCAGTGCAGCATGGAGGTTGGGGTGGGCAGGAGATGCAGTGAGGACACAGCCAGGACAGCCAACCAAAACAGAGGGATATCCAACACTTATTTGGTATTCTACTCAGCAATAACAACTGGGAACTGGGGGGTCCTCTTGTTAGACAGTTATTTGTCTTCCTGAGAAACTGCTGTGCTTTTTGAGGCCTTGCTTCCTAAGAAGTAACTAAACATTGGCAAAACATTGCTTGCTGATGGGAAGCAGAGAATTACTTACTTCTCTTTGCTTCCATATGCAGCCTTTGCATTTTTTTTTCCCCTTTCTTAAAGCTCCACCTTATTTCAACCCATCAGTGTGTTTTTTTTTTTTTATATTTTCTTGCCCTGCTTTGTTGAGCTGGGGGAGTAAGAGTGGATTGTTGGACCTTAGCTGCCCACTGTCATACTATTATGTAAATAGGAAAGATTAGATGAGTGTGTTGTTTTTGTTGCCCATAGTATATATATTTTTTGAAATAAATATTTTTCCCCCTTTGTTTTTGCTCACAGTATATTTGTTTGGGCACCTGTGACAAAGTAGGAAAAGGAATAAGGCTGCTGGAGAAGTCTTCAGGTTTGCTAATGGTAGGTAGATCTACTTCAGTAGTTATTCTGACAAATCATTATAATGAGGTGGATAAAAATGTCTTCCAGATCTGTTGTATTTTTTTCCTTTTTTTTTTCCCCTCAGGTAGGGAGGTAAACAACATCTTTCAGAGCAGGTATAACTGAAGATAAGCCACAAGAAGTCGTCTGATTCAGTAATTATTTGAATAATTTAGAAGGGTTTTAATCATCTCAGTATGTAGATGTTTTTTATTGCCATGAGGATTCTTCATTAGTTTCAAAATCAGAATTTAAAGTTCTCTCAAATAATAATCAATTCCTGTCTGTGCCAAAATTTAGGCTGTATCTTAACCACTACAAATAAGTCAGAAATGCTGTGTGTTCTGTTTAGGAACCAAGGTGAGGTTGGTTTTTTTTTTTTGTTTTTTTTTTTTTTTGTTTTGTTTTTTTTATTTTATGTTTACAGTACTTAATCTGAGTTTAAATTTATCAAAACCAATTATTTGGTATGTAAAACAACTTTAAAATACTACAGTATATCTTTAGAGAGTAGAGATGTGTTGAAATTGAGTACAAGAAAAAAAACTCTACAGGTGTTGGTGCGAAACTACATTTTTAAAGACAGAAGTCCTCAAAATGCATCTTTTCGATATTCTAGCTGATTGTCAGTGTAAATTTATTATTTATTTCCATTATATTTGCAGAGCAGGATGAATGCACGGAGCTATTATAAATGTCAAAACTGATTTTTTCTAGACAAGGATTTGTAATCCCAATGGAGAAACACTTGGGACGCCTGAATTCTGTTTGCCCGTATAATTGCATGAATTTCTTATGGCTTAAGAATGCTAGAAGGTTCTCTCTTCTGAGTTGCTGAAGGCCAGTGTTCAGGCTAGAAAGATGCAGCTCCTTCTATACTAAAAAGTGCATGAAGGGAAAGGTCAGCAGCTGGGTATAATTCTCTTCTGAATGTGCTGTTATTTGGGGAAATAATTTGATCTGTACGTAACTTATTGCACACTTTCTGGTAATCATTACAAAGAAAAATTGAAAAACCTGTGTCTGCTGTTTCACCTCAACTTAATGATAAGCATAAGGGAATCTGAAATCAGCTTCTATAGATAACGTTGTTGTCATAGGCTATAAATTAGAGAATGAATCACCAGCTGAGCATAGGACATTATAAGGCATACTTTTCTTAGCCAGTCTGAGTAGTAGAATCTTTCCAGTATCTCTGCAGCTCACCTCTGAAAACCTTATTTTATTAGTATTTTGAAGATGCATCCATCTGTCTTGCTTGAGTTTATTCCAGACTCAACAGAGTTTTGTTTGTTCTTAGGTGGTGGTGGTGTTTACATTTCAAGTTAAAATCAAGTATGCTTAGTTGTTACAAACAGAATATGGTCTGTAAATGAAGTGATGAAACTAACATGACCACAGGAGTACAAATTCTGAATTGTTATCTCTGTTCCTTGGTAAGAAATGAAGTACTTTCTCCTGTTTTTATTTTATTTTGTGAAAGGAAGTTGTAGCAGTGCTTAATGAGTTCATTTTACAGTCAGCAAGCTGTAAGAAGGAGAGCACTTAAAGTCAGTATGCTCTGTCAAGCACTGGTTGGGGTAAAGTAGTAGCTAATGTCAGTGCATAACAAAAATAAATGGTCAGAGGTAAAGCTTTTGTAGTGCAATATAACATCTTTCCTGTATCATTTGTTTATAGTAGTATATGTGTATAGTAACTAGTAGACAATGCAAAGACAAATGGCTAACTAAAAAGACTTTTATGCTTGTGTATGGGACAAATTCATTCACTCAAGGATGCAAAATTTCAATGCATTCACATTTGGGTGACTGATTCTAATTAAAAGATTACTTTCTCAGAATAGGTAGTTGATCTTCACTTCAAAGATGCATGAAAACTGTGTTGCTTATGCAAATAGGAAACAGTACTTTGTATTACTGTAATGCCTAGCATTAGCAGCCATGGCCCTGCACTTCTGAAAGAATGAGCTGCAGTAAATATGCATTTATCAGTCAAGCTAAATCTGGCTTTATTTCTAAAAATAATTAGCCAAGTGGATGAGGAGTATCAATTTTATAAGGCTTTTATTGATGTGTCTCATGATATTCTCACCAGAATGTTGGAGTGGCAAAGTCTAGAAAGTATGTTTAAAACTAACAGAGTACATGAAAACTAATTGGCAAAAAATGTAGGAAGAAAGAAGCAGTGACTTGCTGTCAAGCTGGGAGAAGGGTTTTTTGGTCAGAATTTGTCCTGATTCTGTCAGCAAGAATGATGCTTGTTCTGCAGTGCTTGTCATCAGAGTCTTAAATTGATGCTTGTTAAGTTAAAGAGTACATTGAATGGATGGTTAATAAAATTTCATTCAGAGAGGAAAGTAATAATCCTTTCTCAGTTTCATGATGTGTATGAATAGATTTCTTGCACTTAAAACTGAAGCAGGAAACATTAATACATGTTTTCTTTCTAACAATATTTTCCCATGTTTCTAGACTTGTTTTGTGGTATTAAAACTAATCCCAGCACGGGCAAGAATCTGAACCAAATGTGCCGTACCAAAAAAAAGCTTCATAACTGTTTGAATCATGAGGAATGTTCATGGTTGCTTGGTTATTAAACATCTCAGTGTATGTTTTCTTGTTTCTTTCCTGTTTTGTTCTGTCGTCTTAAAGAGCATGTGTTTAAACAGTGAGCAGGATTCACAGCATGTGCTTTGTACATACCAAAGTGATCTCTATGCAAATCATACAAGCTGGAGAAGTTCAGTTTTCAGAGATTTATAATATCCATAAAATGTCCACAAAGTATGTGGTAATAGTTAGAATTAAGAGAACAGATTGAATGAATATGTATGATAAAAGCTCTGCAACCTCTGCTAGTGTCAAGATTTTGAGGGTAAGATAGTTGTTTCACAGTTAAAAAGATTTTGCCTTCCACACTTGTTCCCAGTGCTGCTTTCTTTCATGAACTTCATCCCATTGCTCAGTTTGGTGTGGTTCAAAGGTTGCTGAAGTAATTATTTCTATCCTTGATGTTGACAGAAAAGTGAAGAATGATTACAAGTTTTGCTTCTTCCTTTGTTTTTTTGAATGCTAGTTAAAGACCTGAAACTTCCTATTTCCCTAAAGCTCCTTTCAAAGAGGAATGGAAGTAACTTTTGTCAGATGTAAGCAAGCTTCTTTGTGATTTAACACAATTGCTTTTTTGTTCATAGAAGCAGAGATAGAAACAATTAAACTGGTCAATCTAAACTACTGGATAATATTAGGAAGTTCAAAGAAATTACAGTGGGGAGGAACTATCTTTTTCACTCAGAGGAGAAAAGGTGAGATAAGCAGATTCTGGTAGTTAATTGGGAGGGTCCTGTAATCATGTCTAATACAGCGAGAGGTAACATCTTTAAATTTGTAATGTGTAGAGAATTACAGGTTGCTAAACTGTTCAGGTTTTATTCTTTTGCATAATTTATTTTCATTAAAGTGTTCTTTGTTTGTTTAACCATTTACTCTGCTGAAGTAAGGTGAACGTGGACCTCCTATTCTATTGATACAGCTTAACATTGAAGATGAAAAGAACAGACCCGTGCTTATTTTGAAAGTGGTACCCTTCTTTTCACCTTCAGTGTTCAGACCACAAATATTCTTCTTAATATAATGTTGATACTACTTTAAATAGAAGAACAACAGGCAGTTGCTTTTTATTGATCCTTGTTCAAGTCTTATTCTATCTTGTCCTGTTTGCTTCTGACTTGCATAGTATCTCTTTCTCTCTTTCCTATCTTCCTGTTGACTACTACAACAGAAAAGGAAGAGTCGCAGTCACTTCAAGCACGAGGTAGCAGTTATCAGGATTCCAAGTCTGACCCAGCTTTAACTATCATCTTTGTGAGAGAACATTCTGGCAGTACCTCTTCCCAGTGCCCAGGGGTTGCAAAGACCTGATTTCCATACAGTTTCAAGTGAATTAATTAGGTAAGGAAAACAATGTTAAAGAATGTGTGCGTGCTTTGGAAGAGTGGACTCCATACGATCATTTACAAGTTAATAAGGCCAGGTACCCATTCCTGGTAGTGATGGACTGTGTAAGTAACTTTTCTAACTGCCACAGCTGATGCTATGGTGGTGCCACAGCAATGACAATCGCAGTATTGCTTCAGAAGTGAGAGATGGAGACGACTACTAGCTTTCGGCCAAGAGGAATATTCCTTTTGCAAGATAAACTTCTTTGTCATATCTTTCAAATGCTAATACTGGTTTCTGCTACACAGTGTTTTTTAATTGCGTGTTTAATAGTTGTAAAATGAAAGCAGTAAGGAAGCTAGTCACATCCGACAGTTGAAATAGAGTGTAATATGATGTTGTACAGTCATCATGTGAAGTTCCTGGTTGCCATTTCTCAGAACTGCTGATCCTGCATTCTTCTACTATTATTCCACACCACTGTGAGATACATTTCTCTCTTAGCTCATCTGCCTGCCAGTGCTTTATTTATAATTGGTTGGTTTTATGCTCCTTTCCTAAATTAAGTTTCAGAAACACTGTATTTTATCACTCACTTGACTAGAATGTCATGTCAATTATGTTGCAGTGTATGCTTCTCAGCAGTGGTGCCTAACTCCATGGTTACTGTGGTGTAAAAATGTTCTTAAAGTCCATTGTTATGGGAATTAATGAAAAATGAAGAGGAATGTTTTCTAACAGCTTCAGAAGGATGGATCTTGTGTTTCTATGATAGCATGTATTTGTAAAGAAACAAAAGCTTTCAATTCTCCACATGGTAACCTAAATCTTACCTAACCCATCTTTCTGATTTCAAATGGAACCAAAGTATTCTGTTACTTCTTTTAGTGACCAGGGTTGAATCAAGGCTTCTGCTGGCTAAATGCCTGTATTCTGTGACAGTGTATGAAAAAAAGTAATGTTCCACATACTGAAAGCATGTGAAATAAAAAGACCTTGTACTGGAATAGTAAAGTTCAGTCTGTCCTACTTATTATTCAATGTCTGTGCTTTTTATGTTGCATTTTTTTCTTGTTCTAGATGGGTTCATGTACCTAATCCAAGTTGCAATAAAATGTAACTTAGCAACTGTGTTTATAGATACATTAACCTAAAGACAGACTGAAGGACCTGTATTTTCCAGAGGTAGGGAAAAAAAGCAGTTTTATTGAACATACAAGTATATGCATATACACAAGTATATTAAGAAAAACTGTACATAGTCTTGGTAACTAAAAGAATGAAGTTTATTTTGGGCAACTTCAATCACCATTCTTAAGTATTACCAAAACTTTTGCCAGATCAGCTGGTTATAAACCTGCCTAGGTGCTACCTCAGCTGATAGCAGATAACGCCCTAGTGACACTACTGTATTGCATGATAAATGGATTAAACAGTGATGAGAGGGACTGTATTTGGAAAGCTTTGAAAATCCAATGTGCACAAACTTTTATCACTAATTAACCTTTCACTTTTATGACACCAATTTTCAAATACCATGTAACTACATTTCATTTGATTTGTAATTAGAAGTTGTAAAAGTGCTTCAAGTTTCTTAACAGTATTTGGTGTCCACATTCAGAGTTCATCCACCTTGGGTGATGTTTACAAGCAGTTGACCTTGGTGTTGTGTGTGCATGGGGAGCATGTTTTACAAATTAAAAATCTTCTAACTTTTAAAAACTTTTTTTTTTTTTTAAATAGTGGTAAATTCTCAGTACAGATTCCTCGTGGTTTTACTTTACTATGAAAGAAAATGTCTCAAGAAAGCAGGAAATTTTCTGGTCCCTTAGAGTAACAGTATGTATTCTTAGTATTTAACTTTTTCTTTGTTTTTTGTTACCTTTATCAAAGTCAATGTAATGATTAAACATTTCTAGCTTTATACAGCCTCTACAGTTACAGATTTCAGTGCAGTTACAATTTTCTGGTTCTATTTGGGTTTTTATTATGGATAGGAAGCAACAAACAAAAAGCTGATCCCAAAAAATATGTATGAATTCCTAAATTGAAGTAATATATAATGAGACTTAATACTGAAATACTTCTGTATTGATGTGCAGAACTGTGAAAAAGAAATTCTTAGGAAAATGAAGATGAATACACATCATTCTAATTTAAGGACTGGCACTGCTACAGAAAATGCTGTGGAAGAAGTCAATGTGACTTCCTGCAAAGCAGCTGAATCCGAAGTGGGATTCAGACCACTCAGCCAGGAGGAGGACTGCATCTTCTGTCAGCATTTCATCAACCCTGGTACAGCTGGGAGGAAATGTGCTGATGGCTAGATTCCTGCAGTTCTGCTTTGTGGACAGCTGTGCGTTCACACACCATAAACCTGTTTGTATCCTTACCTGCTCTGCAGTTAAATATTTCTGTCCTTGAAAGAACAAGATCTTTGGCAGGCAATCCAATATAAGAACATCCTTGCAAATCAGGATGTTAAGATCAGAGAACAGGCATCAAAATTGTTTGGTTTTTTTCTTCAGTTTTGCTTTTATTTCATGTACAGTTTATTTGGTGATATTGAAGGAATTGCCTTCAAAAGGCCTTTTAATAAAGATGCATGATAGGGGATGTTATTTACCACACAGAGGCTTTCTTTTTTGCTGTTCAGTTAATCTAAAGCCAGGAACGTGCTTTGCCTGTGTTACAACTCCAAGCCTATCAGCGGCTTTGTTTTTTTCTCTTTAACTGGATAGTTGTTTTGTTTTAATTTGGAATTGCACCACATTTTGCCTGAGTAAGGAACAGCTTTTTCTTCAAAAAATAAAAGTATAGATTTATATTCATAATTACTATAGCTAGAGAATATGCTGTTGTCATATTAATGACTCTGAAAAATAAATAAATTTTGAAGATGGTAACTGTTCTATTGTTCAGTGTTGTCAAATTCAGGCACAGAGTTCTTTCTGTAACTGTCCTATCATTGATGATAAAAATCCATAAGCTATCTTTATTCTTATTGCTAGGATTGTTGTTGATTTTCATTTTTAGTAGGTGATTGTTTCACATCGCAATAGCTAAAATCATGTCCATAAAGAAGATCCTTCTGAGAGATTTCATCCAAGTATGACTCATTACCTGTAACAGTATTCCACATATTGTTATTTCCCAAAGATTTATGTAAGAGTTCTCTCATTCTCCTGTTTTCTTTGGATGTGGATTCCCAAATGACTTCAAGTTCACCTTCTACTTTTCTAGGAAGAAAAATGAATATAAATCTTAATCTTAAAACCACTTTTCAGCCGTATGCAATAATGGTATGCACATAAGCAAATTATACAGTGCATAAATTTAGATGTTTGAAATGTTCTGATTTGAAATTAAGTCTTATTTTGCTTTTAAAATCCTAGTAACTAACATCAGAGAGGACTGAGGTTAATTCAACACATAGAACAACACGCCTTTGTATCAGGCTGTTGTGACTGCAGTCCTGTTTCCTCAGCAGGTATGTTTCTGTAACGCATGCACCCCCTTTTCTGCCAGATATGATTTCTGTATCTTGTCTACCAGCTAAACAAGCCTGATCAAGCAACAGGTCAGTTCAGGCTCTGTGCTCAGCTAATACTTCTCTTTGTGGAGGCCAAACAGAAATGGTGTCAACTTCTGGGTTTGTGTGGTGGTGGTGTGTGGAAACAGATACATTTAGAGAGGGAGTGGTGTGTCTGAACTTTTCTTAGAAGATTAACTTCTGAACAAATCCAACAGATGCAGAATCTGAAAGTGCTTGCTGATTTCACTTTGGAATAAGCTGTCAAAGCATGTCATTGTCAAAGAAACATATTGTGGATGCTCCTGACTTTGCACACAGTGTACTACAGTCATAAGTAAGACTTCAGCGGGGCGTAATACACAGCTTTTGACAGTTAAGTTGTTTTTTCAGGTAAGCATCTAAGAAGCAACAGTTACAACACAACTGCAGTTGCACAATGGTAGGTTTTTGTTTCTGCATTTTTTGTTTTAAGAAAAAAGTGAAGTATTTTACAGTGAAGCTTGGCCTGCTGTTGATAGTTATTTTTCTTTTCATTCCGCACGTGGCAAATCTGTCACTTGTTAACAAAACAGTGAGGTACATTCAAAAAGAAACCTGACGTGTGTACTCATTAGATTGATTTTTATGCCAGCGTGAAAGCTGTTGTGGAGGGGGGATGGGTAAATGTTCAGCCTTTAGTAGAAGATGCTGTTAAATAATTAACACATCTTGATGATCTGTAGGCCCCTAACTCATCAGAAACAAGACTCAGATTGCTATTTTTCATATCTATTTCAGATCTATTTGGATTGTTTCTGCCTCTGACTTACTTCTTTTGCTGCAGCACTGCATCAAGGGTTTCCTGTTTGTCTTGCAGCAGACGCTGGAGGTGCTTCATTTCTTGCTGGTACTGAGCAGTCTTCCCAGCAAAATCTTTCTCCTGCTCAGTCAATTTGAGACTGATATCTCCAAGCTTCCCAGCTGCTCTCTTTTTATAGAGCTGTAGAGTTAATAGGAAGAGTGTTATGATAGGAGAAATAAGTGCAATTTACTACCACCAAAAGGAAGTTGTGAGAGATTCATTCGCAGTTTAATCTTTTCATCAGTGATGCTATTCTTTAATTCCATCAGGTATGTTGCATTACATTTTTTGTAGGTTTTTTTTTTTTTAACCTATTTGTTATGGCATTACGTTTGCACTTTGTTATGCATATAAAACCAGTGTGTTCTCTGAATACCATAGTATGGAAAAGCTTTTTCTCTCAGTGGTCAGGCACTAGAATGGCTGCCCAGGGAGGTGGTGGAGTTGCTATCTGTGGCAGTATTCAAGAGACGTTTGGATGAGGAGCTACAAGCTATGGTCTAGTGGCTTGTGGTAGCAGTGGTAGGGGGAGGGCAGTTGGACTAGGTGATCTTGTAGGTCCTTTCCGACCTTGTGATTCTGAGTGAAAAAAAAATCAGATGCAAAAAAACATGTTTGTGCAGAGCTATACTTCACAGAACTCAAAATTGTAGAATGGTTTGGGTTGGAAGGAACCTTAAAGATCATTTAGTAACACCCCTTCCCCCCCCGCCACTAGATCAGGCCACTGAAAGCTAGGTGGTTCTTACCACTTGTCCAGCAATTACGTTTATCAGAGCGTTCTATGAAAAAGTGTGTGTTTTGTTCTCTAATTGTAACACCAGGAGGCAGGACAGAGTGCCTTAGTGATTTAAAATAATATTGCTGTTTCGCATAATAGTTTGTTCGGTTTGTTGAGGGCACGAATCATTTTATGCACATTAGCAGTAATAACTAAATATATGGGTCTAAGCTCAAAATAAAGACAAATACTTTTTCCGTGAAGTGATTTTGCTTTTTGAAATAACTTTTCCAATTGGTTGCATACCCATGTGAGGAACTGAAAAATACAGCATGCCATGTATTGTTACATATTTCTATGGTACTTTTCACATGATAAAAAGAAATATTTTCCAATATCAGCTTTTTTTTCTTGTGGTTGCAACACAGTGCTTTAAAGTGGTTGTCAAACTTTACATTCTGTAGATATACTTTCTCTAAGACCAGATTTTTGGGGTAGAAACACCTCCTTCAGTAAAACTGCAAAATATTTTGTGAAGCCTTGAAAATATTCCTATTTATGTTGTCTTAATATGATCTTTTATCACAGGCTTTAGCCACTAAATCTGAATCAGAGCAAAAAAGTCTAAGAATACCTTATGTGGAGAAGAATATTTAACTTGAGATTCCCGAAGGGAAATCTACAAAATACAGGATGATATGACTGCACGTTAAATAGAATGTGAGGTTAAAGGTAAATCTGTTCTTTCAGATTTATTTTGCTTGACGTGCTTCAAAGCTGTGTCTGATAGGTAACACATGGGCTGCATTTGTCAGCTTTACTTGCCTGTTTATTATTTGCCAATTGCATTTGTGCCATATGTGCAAAAGACAAGAATGCACTACTTTTTGGTGTAACGATTAAAATACGATGCTAGGTGTGAAGGATACACTGTTCTAGAAATTGCTTATAGCTAAATTGATTTGAAATGTATAAGCTGCCTCAGCAGAACTTCAGCAGGATGGCTAAAGAGGCCCAAGCTGGACCCATGCTCATTTTGAGGGAGCCAGACCAAGTTGGTGTGATGCTGGGAATGCTGATATGTGAAACTGCAGGCACTCAACAGAACCTTCAGAGCAAGCTCCTGAATTATCCAGAACTGTCTCATTAATTTTCTCTCAAATAAAGCAGGCAGTAGTGTATGGAGATAACAATTTGCAGGAAGAGGGGGATAACACAGCTGGAAGTGGTGATATTTTCTCTAGGGTTTAAAGAGTAGGCTGCCTGAGATCACAGCATCACAGGTATATAGCAAGCAGTGAAGATGAGCACTGATGTTGGATGTAGCAGCTGGTACTGAAGGGGACATAACCTACACTCCTGTGAAGAAGTTCTGAGAAGGTACGTTCTTGGCAGTCTAATTCTGTTATGCTTTGCATACTGAGTCATGTGGGAGCCATTTATATTATAGTACAGATCTTCTGTTACTTCTCTTCCTGGAGCAACAAACAGTTTTAGACCACCATCTCAGTAACCGTGAATAGAATAAATACTTGGAGTTTATTTACAACAACTGTTGAATAAAACCATTTTTATCAATTACATACTGTTTTAAAAAAAAACAACAGGTGTCACTGCAGGACAGTTCATGTTGCATATGATTATTTAGAAAAAAAAATGCAAAACCTGTACGCTTGAGCTGCATCTTTTCTGATTACAAAGGGAAAAGGAGATAGCATAAATGTTCTGCTCCATAGTCAGACTTGTTAATGGTGTTCATTCAGTGACCTAGCTGACGCATGCAGTATTCATGTACAATGTAAGAACTTAGTTGTGATGAATGATGACTGTGATTTCATTTTTTAAAAACTCAAAATCAGCATCTTTCATAACAACACTGACACAGAGTTGCTACTGACTTATCATAAAAATAGTTGTACAGAATGTTCAGGTTAGAAATTGTTTACCTTCACTTTTTCTTCCAACCTTCCTAAGCGTAGACTGCCTTCTACTATTTTGTTTAGAACTCCATGGTTCTCATTTTCCAAGCATTTGGCCTGCAAACATATTGTGCAGATATAATGAAATAGAATCATTACTTAAGGCAAACAAAATATATAAGTTGAGGAAGACAAAGCTGTTCTGTTTTGAGTGTTGAGAACTAAGAATCAGTACACAAAAGAAACTTAACAAGAGGGTGACCAACTTCTTACACAGTCTAATAGTAACAGGACAAGGAGGAATAGCTTTAAACTTAAAGAAGATTTAGGTTAAATGTTAGGCAGGTGTTTTTTCACTCAGTGTGGGCCATCCCTGAGATATTGTAAATAAAACAATGCATCTGTAATAAAATGCCAGCTAATAGACAAAGCCAAGCAAATAGACTAAATAGAAGTTGTTCCAGAACTCTCCACAAGTTTGTCAAAATAACTGTTAACTGAAAAGAAGCATTGATGTGTATTTGCATCCAAAGTAGAAGGTCCATACGTATCACTAATAACCACAGCTTACCATCCAAATCAGAAATGCTTACAAAGTACTTATGGTTTCATGCTATTCTTCAATATATGCCATTTCAGCATTTGAAGCAATATGTTAAATGAGATTAAATAACGGGCACTATTACAGACCCTAATGCTGCTGTGAATTAAGGCTTAATTACGCTACCGCAAGAAGCTAGGGTTCTAGTTCTAGCCACCCTTCTATAAAATTTTGTTTCTATCCTATTTCCTATATCCATTTATGTAGCTAAATCAATCAACTGAAATTATCTATTTTCAGTAACTGAAATTAATATTAAGAATTGTGCTAGTAAGGTGGTAACTGCAACATCAAGTCAAATTAATGAAAGGTAATTACCAAAAAAATAAGATGATCGCGTTCCTGCGCTATCTTTTCCACCAAACCGATAAGGTTTGTCAGGTAGTGATGGGCTGCAACTTCTTTTTCAATTGCTTCCTCCAACTGCTGTTTCAAAAGACCTATTTTCTTCTTTAATCGCCTATAAAATTAACAGGAGAATCTAAAGATTGGGAATTAATAATGGCATTAAGAGAACTTGCATGTTAAGTGCAGATCAACTTGCACTAGTCTGAAAACCGATCAGATGTGCTACTAAAGATGTGCTGTCTTGAAATGTTTTGAGTGCTGAAAGTATCACTGCCCATAACTTTGTTTTTATAATATGCCTGTGAATAGTAACTGTAACAATTATTCACAAGAACAATTCACAAGAACAAGCTCATAAAAAAACAATAATATTATTGCTACTTTTTAAAAGCCTGTTCTCCCTCTGAACCACTCAGGTATATGTGAAAGTCTACAGTTACTGGAATATCCTGCTTTTCAGGATATGCACATGTGATTAATCACTACAGCTAACTACCATCACTGAAGATTCATTCTTGATTTTGCATGTAAAGACAAATGCATGTGCAAATGTAAAAAGTTTAGAAAAGTTATTTAACGACCAAGCCAAATAAGTGTGGTGAAGATGTTTGGGTTTTTTTTTTTTTTTAGAGATATAGTTGTTCTGTAATCAGAAAAGACACTGGGATGTGAGATGACATTTTTACAGGTACGACTGCTGTGGTATTTTGAGAAATTTAAGTAGATTAAAAGAGAAAATGAGAACGTAATACAAAATGAAAAAAAGAGAAACCTGTTTGTTTTCTGTGTCATTTCCATCTCAGCTTCCAGGGTTGTCTTGTCAGCCAGGAAGTTATTTTTTTGTAAAAGTAGTTTCTTGTTTTGAGCTTGCAGTGATGCAATCTTCCCCATGAGATCTTCCACCTCAGAGCGCTTTTTCTCCTGCTCCTGCTGTAAATGGCTGCAAAAACAACCATGTAGAACAGGATTCTTGTGTACACCTACTTCAGTATAAAGTCAAATTATGGTAAGAGTATCATGCTGAAGGTATGAAAAAGGTACATTAGTAATATTTGGTGTTCAGTGGTGCTAAAGAATGGTTTTACAATCTGATGACGTACCAGTTTGTGAATGAAGCATAACACAAGCAAAAATTCATAAAAATGAAAATTCATCCTGGCTGCATTTGAAATAATTCTATAACTTATAAAACATATAGTCCAAAATGCATTTCCTGCATATTTTTTTTGAAGAAACTGTTAGGCAGAACTTCTAGGGAAGGGATCATACCAAGAAACAATGAAATTACTATCCTCAGGTGAAAGAAAACAAATTTACAGAATGTCTTTAGAAAAGCATTACTTCCCAAAATACGTGTGACAGACATTTTGTTTTATCACTTTCATACCTTCAGGGTTGAGATTCACTTTTATAATTTTAATCGTCTATAAAAATCAAGACAGTATTTTGAAAATACTGACACTTATTCACCTGTAGAGATAACTACCAAAGTACAGAAAATTACCAGCACATTTCTACCTACAGAACAATGCATGCATATGAGGATGTGCTCACGTGAATGTTCTGTAGAACTGTTTCTTTTGCACCAATTGCAAACTCACCTTTTTAAGTCATTCACCAAAGCAAAGTGCTCCTCTGCTGCTATTCTGCTATCCAGTTTGGCTTTGAGCTCTTCACAAGTAGTATGTAGAGCTTTCAACTGCTTCTGGTAGTCTCTGATCTGTTCTTCTTGACTCTGTTTCTTCTCTTCTAAAATTATTATCTGTTTGGTCAATTTTGAAGCTTTTGGAAGGAAAAAAGCACAACTGGGTACAGCAGAATTAATTCAATCACTTAGAACTCAAACCAATAATACATTCACTCATTGTTCTTTATAGCATTATCTAACAGTGGATTTTTATGTTTTAACAGTTTGGTTTGTTTCTGTCCTAATTTGTCTAGATGTGCCAAATTTTTCCACAGCGAGGTAGGTAACTATAAATAGGAGGAAAGTCAAACTTTGAAAGCAGAAAGGAAACTATTTCTGGAACTACGTGTCAGATAAACAGAGAATTTCAGAATTGAAAATTGGCTATATAGATTCATTTCATAAAATGATTTTCATCATAAACTTTATACTAACAACTGAATTACATGTTCTTCAGGACATCCTAACCTGTGAATTAAGATTCACAGAATTCGTACCTTCAGTCTTGCTTTTATTAATCATTACTAAGAATTGTTGCTCTCAGTACTAGGATTTTAAACTGTAACATGCCAGACTTTTTTTTCTCAATACTCATTCGGAATTCTATTATCAAAAATTATCAAGAGGAATTGGTTGATATAGAGCATAATTATTCAACTAAATACAAGCCTCTGATAAAACAATAAGTAACCAAACTGATTACAAAACAATTAGTAACCAAACTGATTACTACTTGACATGTACATATAAATCTAAGCCATATCAAACTATGAAAGTAAAATCACATGCTGCTACCTGTGAAATAATCAACTATTATATCAGTAATAAAGATTGGTTTAGGAAGTAGAAAAATGAACCGATAAAGCCCACAGATTCTAAATTGAACATGAAAGCCTGTGAAGTTTTAAGGGCTCTTGAAATACACTTTACTGATTTCATTATTTATTTTTTTTTCAGTTCTGGTCACTCTTCCAGAAGAAGGAAGTCAAAACAGACTGTCCTGTATAGTAATCAGCAAGCGATAGCAGCATTCCTTTTTCCTGTCAGCTGACAGCCAGAGTCTGTCTTCGTAGTGTTCTACAAGCATCTTATCAAGCTGAGGAAAAAAAAAAATCACAAACTGCAGTTGCTGTGTCTAGAAGCTCAAGCACATACCTTCTTGAACATGTTGTCTGTGACTATCTTTTGCTTTAGCTTGTTGAATTTCAAGTTGCTCCATCAACAACCTGTTTTCTTCCAAGACCAGTCTGGCCTGAGTTTGTAGCTGGTGCCTGCAATAACAAGCAGTTTATAAAATGACTGAAGTTTATGTCCAAAGGAGAAAACAATCGACTTCCAACAGTGTAAACTTAAAACTATTTGAATGCCCTTCAAAAGCAAATGAAAAGCCTTCATCAAAAGCAATCTCAAGATGTAAGGTAAGCTCATCAAAGACATAAAATATCTTTGAAAATGTAAATTATTTGAAGAAATTTTGTTACAAACTAAATAAAAAATTCACTGTAGAAGAAAGGAAAGATAGGTATGTGTAAATTATAGTCAGAGTGGTTTAGGCTGGAAGAGACCTCTGTATGTCATCTGATCTAGTCCACTGCCAGTCTTAAAATCTGTAATCTTGTGCATTTGCATGGATCAAGCAAAACAATTAGTTATTTTTCATGTATTTCTCATAATAACTTGCCATTCTGTAGAGGTAATTAAGTTATTCGTATTTAATTGCTCATGCAGGTCTTCATTTTCCTTCACCAGCTCTTCGACTTGTACTTTAAAATTCTTCATATCCTCCTGGAAGATAAAGGATTTCAAATTAAAATATTTAGAGGTAAATATTTTGGTTTGATTTTTACATCAACAGAAGATGTATGTCTGAGTGCCTTCATAATTCCCACGTTAACAATGTTATCTGACTAGTCACTCATCTTGAACTCATGTACATATCTGAATTGAGATATTTTTTTTTGTCTGTTGTAATTTTAATTAAGCAAATTAAAATTGAAACATAGATGCAAGAACATGAATTCTGGAATCTACCAGATAACAGCATATGTTTCAGTATGAAATATGGCTCATTCTCTGGCTTCAGTTTTTGAAGGAAATAAATTATGCTGAATAACAGTTCTGCTCTGAAGCTCATGTAGTTCCTTGGATTTGGTTATATATGGTTTAAATGAGAAAAGATGAGTGCCTTGGTAATCTTTCTTTGCTTATTGATCACTGTTTGAAAAAAGATTCTCAAGAAACAATTTTTTTAATTTAAAGGCTTGGTGATAAAATACATTTATAAAGAGCAAAAACAGGCAGTACCTGATCCTTAAATAACTTGAAATAAAAATACTACTTCCACTAAATCCAAAGCCCAGCTAATTCAGGGCACTGGCATCCCCATTATGAATGGCAGCAATAAATTCTTCTACTGGCTGACTTTTAATGGTTTACTGAGAAACTGCAATTCCCATACATTGCAATATTGTGCCTCATTCTGTATCTGAACAACCTGACAAAAAAAAGAACAAACCAAGCATTTTAAGACAAAAATGATTATGTCTGCTAAAGAGAAGGTCACTTTTAATTTTAGGCAGAAAACAGCTTGGACAAATCCCTGAAAAACATAAGTAGATCTTTCTGCTTTATTTTAGAAGTATTTTTTCTTTGAATGATGACTTGCCTCATGTGCAAAATTTAAATCTTCCTTTTCTTTTATTCTGTCTTCATATGCCAACAGAAGAGGAGACAAATACTTCATATCCAGCTTAAGAAAAAAAAGTTTAAAAAATCTCATAAATCAGATAGAAACTATAATCTCATCAGTAGATTTAATTTCTCATCCTAGTAGTTTTTCATTGCTAGTTTTAAATACTATTAAGGGCTTTCAGGTACCATTAATTGTGTGTATAATTGAAGGTGGAATAAATAGTTCAAGAGCTCCTTAAATTACAGAAAAGTAATTTAAATAAACTTGCACAAAGTCAAAATACCATTTCTTTCAAAGGAACCTGAAAGTGCTCTGTTCTTAGTGTGCTGCAATTCAATCTAGAAACCAAGTTTTTTTTTCTCATAGGAATGCATACTAAAAAAAAAAAATCTGTCCATAAAGAATTAGTCAGCTACTTATAACCTAGTCATTTCAACTTGGAAAATCCATCTTCACATGCTGCATATCACAGAAAGAATTGGTGAAGCTGGGAGGGACCTCTGGAGGTCACCTTGAGCAACTTCCTTGCTCAGGCAGCCACACAGAGCACTGCCCAACACCAGTTCTTTGTCATTCTGACTAAGGAGGTATGGTTTAACTTCATCAGTGAAATAAAGCATTTCATGGATTATTTGCCTACCACTTTCTACCAGTGGACCTGTGATAATTTCTATCATTAGAATCTCTAAAATACAGTATTTCTAGTATTACTTAAAATCATCTCTGGAGAAGAATAAAAATTCAGATCAATAATTAAGCAATAGACCTTGAAGCAAAGCGTATGACAGACAGTACTCAGTGAAGATGGTATTTACGGTTCTCACAGTAGCTGTTTTGCATTGCTTTCATGAGTGCAAATTTGGTAACTGTATGCAACTTGTAGCTTATCATTAGTTCACCCAGAGATGCACATATTCATTGCAAATTTTTTGCATTGCATCTGTTTTCATGAAGCAAATGTTCATCAAATTCTACCATTATGCAACAGTTCAACAGCATTACTAAGTAATATCCTGAGAGTTTGAGTATTGTGATTCTAGTAAAGAAATTCTACTGCTTTACTTGAAAAGGAATGAGCAGATAAGCAAAAATATACTACTTACCAGCCATGGGGGTGGTGGTCCTTTAGTGGGTAAACTATTTAGTTTTAGATGCTAAAAAAGATATTTAAAAAGAAACTAATTATTTCTTGCTTTTTAAAGCACCAACATCAGTCACTGCAAAAGCATACGACTCATAACTATTACCCCCAAACAAGCTTATGTTTCTAATGATGTGTGTTGCACATGTAATGCACACACAGTCAGCAGAACTGAAGTTTCAGCATCTTACTAATGTGAGCTAACTTTTTAAAGTTAGATTTAAAGGTAAGAGCTTATTCTCAATTTTGAAAGGAAACCTACACCATGTGCAGACTGAAGTTATTTTATCTGGATTTACCCCCAAAAACTCAAAGGTGAATTAAAGCACAATTGGACATTTCCATGCAGACTGCTGTTACAACTAACATTCTTACCTCTTCTCGGGTCAGTGGCCTGAATTTAGTTTGATAGCGACTTAACTCTACATTCAAACGATGGACTGTCAATTTCAAAGCATCGTTTTCATCTACAAGTTCTTGTGCTTGTTGTCTCAGAGAAAGTAATTCTGTAGTGTCTCCTATTAAAAGAAATATGCTATCCATTTCAATCAAACTTCAAGAAATGTTAACATTGATTTGTTAATTTTAAGGAAAAAAATCTCAGTAAGCCAGAACTACAAGAGAACATCTCCCAAAAGTGTTAGGGAGTAAACCTGTGAAAAACTACTAACACAAAGAACATGGAATAACATTCTCACGAGCCTCTAGTTATTCCTTGACAAAATTAATACAAAAAATACTGTACAAAAAATCCTTCTGCAGAGCTACTTGCTCAAATTAGTAACACAAATACCTGCTGCCCCAATACTGGGTTAAAAGGAATCAAGCAAAATCACTAGTAGTATGTCTCCCACCTTCATCATGTGTCGTCTTTGCAGCTTCTTTAAGTTTTCTGTTTTCTTCTTCTAATCTCTTCACTTTTAATTGCTGTTCTTCCATTTGCTGTTTTATTCCCTCGAGTTGTTGACCCACAGCCTGATATGCCTTGTTCAAAGACCAGTTTTCTTGTTGTAGTTCTCTGAGCTTTTCTCTAGTCTTATTTTCCCGTGCTTGCCTTGCACGAATAGAGACATCTGTAGATGCCAAAGTTCAATATATCTGAATTATATTAAGACTTCAGTACAGCAAATTTCAGCAAATTATAATCCACTTTTTCTATTATTGGCATGAGTGGTACTACATAAGATATATAAATCAACTAATGGCTTCCAGAGGATTAAGGTAAGAAAGAATGTAGGTGTGTATGTGGGAAGAGCTATACAGAGCAGGGGCTCCGTTTTCTCTGAAGCACTGGGGGAAAAAAAAACAAAAACAACTTTCTGTAAGGCACAAGGAAAATGCATGTGGATTTTCCTCTCTCTAACACGGGTAATCAGAGTGGTGAGACAGAAATAGGCACTGCAGGAAGCAATGTCCATGTCTGCATAGGTTAGTTGATCTTCCTGTGCCCCCTTTTATTTTAATCAAGTATGTAGTTAAAGCTTTGCTCTTCTTCCCACTGAACAAGTTTCAGTGTTCTGTTATGCACAGAAGCTACTTCACAGTCCTTAAAAAGTAAAACTTCAGATTCTCTGCAGGAATACAGATACATCGTTGCATTAGCAATAAGGGATCTACTTCATTTTTTTCTTTCCTGCCATATGGACTAAACAGCTTACCTATTAAAATAAAAGCTGCAATTTCACCATTAACGACAGAGTTCAAGAGACAGCACAGTCTAACAGCAGCAGCTGCAGACAGCCCACACACCTCATGTCAACCAGTTCAGTTGCAGTGAGACGCTTAGTAATGGTGACAGTCTTTAACATAGAAACTTAGGGGACTAAAGAAGTCCATTATAACTTTCATTTCATGACATTGCTTATCACTTAGATTGGAAAATAAAAACAAATTAAATACCCAACATAAAAAACCTAGAACTAATGTTTTAATACATATCACAACACAGCATTTTTTTTTTTTTATCTGTGCAGGAGAAATATATTTTTTCGTGAATTAGGCTTACTGAGTATAAGCTGGAAAATGTATTTTTATAAACATGCATTCTTTAAAGTGAATATCTGCAGCAACGTCACAGAAAAATCACAAGTACCTGGGGATGGTGGAGGCTTCTCCCGGATAGGACTTTCAGCTAATGATTTTTCTTCCTACCATGGAAATAACAAAAAAGAGACAGTTTGCTCTGAAACACACTGTATCTGAAACACACTGAACAGTATCAGTGCTAGAGAACTTAAGAAACAGAACTTTTGAAACAATTCTTTGGTATCAGTAAAGTTGAAGGTTGAACTCACTGCTGCACTTGTCATTTATGTCTCGCCATCTTGTTACTTACTACTGTTAATGCTCACTCCTGAGCACGTGAAATAGTATTTTCTTTCGTTGTCAAAGATGGACAGTTCTCAAAACAATTCCATAATGGCTTTAAAAATAAACCAGGTTTCTTGTCCTAACAGTCTGAATTTTGCTCCCTCTTTTTAGTTCGTATGAGAGACTCTAGGATAGTCATAAAAGATAGTTGTAAAGTGGCAGCTCTTTATAACACCAGAGCACAATATTTTCCATAATGTGTCACAAATAAACCTTCTTATAAGTCTTACCTTTGAATTCAAGCCAAGCCGTTCGTTCTCTGTTAAAGAAAAGCAGATCTATGGATTAATTAAGAATGAAATATTAGTAAGCCTGTAAATTCTAAGCGTGCATATGGATACTTAAGTACACATTATGTACTGCAAATAAGCACAAGAAAGTCCTTCTAAAATCCCCTTAGTGGTTTATTAGAATACTGATGTGATACCTTACTTTACCACTCACACTGTATAAATACAATCATGGAAGAAACAAGATTATGTTTTCAGAAAAGTGTTCTTACAGCTGATTTTCAGACATGTCATTTTCTTAGTCCAAGAAAAATGACTGACTAAAGATATTTTCTTTTTCCTACTTAACCCTTCTAACATTGGTAGTTACTAGAACGTCTGGGTTTTTTTCTTCTACTAAAGCTTTGAGTACCATAACATTCCAGTAGCATTCAGAGAATAAAATGGTTTGATTCTGGCACACATATCAGAGATGTGGTAGACCAGACAGAGCTTATTGCTCAATTTAGATGTTTTGTTTTTAAAGCTGACTGTTAATAGATGTTTAAGAGTTTCATTATAGAGTGGGTATGGAATAATCTTCCCTCTGTGCAAATTCTTATTTTTCTATAACTACTAGAAGTGGCTACTTCGTAACATTTCTTTTTTTTTTTTTAAGGGAATATATCATTATCATATTAAATTTAGGTTATTCAAAAATTTTCTCCCATGATATTAAATGGTAAGGCATTTTGCCTTACAGTAAACTTATTTACCTTCAGAATGCGTGTTTGACTCATCCACCAACACCTGAAACTGACTTTCATGAGATGTTTCCTTCTTCTTAGCATTATTAGTAGGAGATGGTTGAAACTCTTCCTGTATATAAATAAGACAAGCCTGTCTAAATCATAACACTGTTAAAATAGCCCATGACAGAGCATCTTGATATGTGTATGAAACCTTCACTATAATAATGTCTTAGTCACATTTAGAATTATACCCTAGAATTTTAAGATAATAAATGAAAGAATATAATGTTTGGCTTCAGGACTACACATAAAATATAGCCTTAACACAACCAGCAGGAGGTGGACAACTTGGATCATATGATCTGTCGATTTTGTCAGCCTTTTTTTGCTTCAGATCCCCTGCCCAGTGCAGTCTTACCTGCCCTGAAGCTAGTCTTTGTGGATCCCCATTCCTGGATGCATTCAAGGCCAGGCTGTATGGGGCCCTGGGCAGCCGGAGCTGGTGGGGGGAGCCCTGACACAGCAAGGACTTGGAACTGGGTGGGCTTTAGGGCTCTTTCCAATCCAGGCCATTCTATATCTAAACTTACTCTTTAAAAAAGCTCTGCCATTTATGATGTTACAGCACTCAAACAGTTAATGAGTAATTTTTAGCAGTCTTAGCTGTTTTCCCTTGTTGATTGCGTAGCAACATCCCAATATGCAACACACCCCTTCTTCCCTCTCCTCTCTTCTCCCTAATTACTGTCTCTTCACTTCAGTGTGTTTTCCAATTCCTTTCACAAACATAGCATTGTATTCCTTGTGTACTACTCAGTTACTTCTGTTTTTGTAGCACTTTGGACAAAGATGCAAACTGGAGCTGCTTCCATGCTTTAAACACACAAAGATCCACTGGTCTTTAAGACACAAGGTCATGTCTTCTGTTTGATTCTGAATGTTCTTCTCTCTGAATGGGTCCTGCTCCTTAGCAGGATCTGAATCAATTACTGAGCTTTCACTACGCCTAAAAGTACTTAAGTATTTACGCTCTTAGTAAAAGTAAAATATTGGTATATATAATTAGTATTATTTAAGTATTTAAGTATTACGCTCTTAGTAAAATATTGGACACTTTACCAGATTAAAACATATACTTCCTTTAAATCTGTAATAAGAGCAATAATATCAGTGATTTCCTATTAAGAAAAATGTGCTAATAACTATATAAGGAATATGTGAGGATCAACAAACAAACTTAGCATGTTTAAGAGTAAACTGATTGTGAGAAGATGTAAATAAAAATGGAATAAATAAGTAAATAGTAAGAGAATGACAAGCTATAGTAATATTTAATATTCACACTAATATATTACAATACAGTAAAGGAATTGACTGATTAAAAATACTACCTTTTTGTTTTTACAGGGAACTGCATAAATCGCACTGGTGCTAAAGCTTTCTCCATGTTTCTCATTACTCTCAGAGCTGGACTCTGTCTCTGCCTCTCTGCCAGCATCTGAAAGATAGGTTTCCATGTCCTCATCCTCACAGTAACTGCCTGTTATTTCCAGTGACTGCACAGGAGATCTGTCACTGCCATCAAGTTTCCAGTTAGGCCTGTAAGTACAAAACAGTTCAAAGCCTGCTTCAATGTTGCTAAATGCCAGTAAAGTAGAGTCATCTGTCAGAGAATGTACACCAGTCCAACAGCAGAAACAAATATGTACGCTTTAACTGCAAACAAGTAGCCTAAGTTATGCACATGCTTTAAAACAGGCAACACCGAAACTGTTTTCTTCTCTAGTTTAAAGAAAATACCACACTAGAGATCAAAGGCTGCTAATTCTACAGAAAAAATAGTCTGAAATAATAATTTAGCACAAAGGAATTACCTTATATAATCCAGATGATTCTTCGGTGATTAACTGTATAACTGATAAGCATTTGGCAGAAATAATATGTTTTTATGTGCAGTAGCTGTACAATCCAGACCTCCCTCTCTGGGGATGATATACATCACTGTATGAGAAGTAGAATAACAGCTGTGGACTTTGGACTTCATTTATGAAGTAAACTGGTTTAAGGATTTGAATCAGTTCTCAGTAACTCTTGGTTAAAATTACTTCATTGGAAGATTTCATTTCTAATTTCAGAGAGCAAAACAAAGCATACGCTACCCCATTCTGAGCTCTGTGACTGTAGCATATGGTTCAAAGCCCTCCTGTTCTGCGCGGGCAGAATCACCTTCAGAAAGTGATCGCTGCCGAGGCTGAGGAATAGCAACCGTGCGCCCTGTCAGTGTTGTTGCAAGGATAGCTGCTGCTAAAGCAGATCTGGAAGAAAACAGAAGAAAAGAAACAATACAGTACTAATGTCATCTCTGTGCTGCACACCTTATATCCTCTTCCAATGTAAAACGTCTTCACTATTTAAGAAAAGCCAGAAGTTCAAAGTTAAAAAACAACGCTAACATTGCAAAGGGACCGGATTTAAACCAGTTAACTCCAAGGTAACGCACAAAACCAGGTGTGCTCTAACAATGCACTCTAATGAGTGCAATCTAAGAGTACAGTTTAAATACCTAATAAGTTTTTCAAATGCATGAAAAAAAAATACTGAATTACATTTCCAAAATTCACACCAAAAATGTACAGTACTTAGCATTCACTTCAGTCCTAATAACAGTACATGGAGGCAGGTTGAGAAATTGTTCCATATTTTGCTATTTTGTCTCCTACTTCCCAGGAGAAAACTACAGAATTGTTGATGTCATTACTGATGGCTGTGAAGCTGTGCATAAATGCTGAAGTGTTACAAACTAGTGCAAGTGTAAGTAGATGGAAGTGCTTGCTAGCGAGATGCTGCAGAGCAGAGTGGAGTAAGATAAAGATGAAAAAGAAATGGGAATGAAGATCAAAAGATGAGGGTTGCAACAGGAATGACAGCAGCTGGAGATCAAAAAGAAGAAATGAACTGCAATTGACCAGGAATAATATGGACAGAAGCAAGAACACAGAAAAGAACCAGAAGTGAATTAAATGCAGAGAAATCAAAGAAGAAAAACTGTAAGGTACTATAAATGAAACTAAATTCCTATTTTCCCTTTGTACTACTTGCCTGCCTTGCTAATTCAGATTAGCAGGGGTCTTGCATACAAGTCTTTAAGTCCCTGTTTTGTTGTTGATTTTTAATGTAATAGAATGGCAGGTTAGTAATGTTTAACTTAGCGTTTCTAAGGAGTAGAAAGTTCTTCATTCATGGTACTAACACACCTAAAGTCCTGCACTGTAGCATCCAATTTTGAAATGGCCCTAGCTTTGAAAAGTCCATTTGTCTTTGATTGACTCAGATTTATAAGTTATACAGAAAGATAATTGTCTTAATTGCTTATCGTATTTGAGAACAGCTCCCCCTAAAAACATTCATTTGTGAGAAGGCTTATGTAAACACTACAACAGCTCTGCTCATCATGCATTCCTAGTGCGCTACTGCAATTGATGAAACAAAAAAAAAGAAACAACTCAAAACCTACCTGAGCCTTTCTGGAGAAGGGTTTGGGCTACGAGGGGGAGGGGTGCGGGGAACTGCAGGTTTAGGAGCTATGGTGGCAGCAGGGACCAGGCCATGAGCTATGTGTTTCTAAACAATTTAAAATAAAATTAGTTGGCAATGAATTTAAGGATAACGAATAAAGTACAGAACCGAACATGCACAAAAACTAACTTCACAAAATAATACAGAAGGCAAGAATGTTCACATGCAATTAATGTGAACAGAAAACTTGAAATGGTTTTAAATGTAACTTCAGAGCATGTATGAATAGTATGAATGAAGGTTAGAAATGTACTTTACAACAACTGTATACCAGTGACTGCACCTTCTCCACTCATTACATCACTACTTGCAAAATCAGAATTGCGATATACTCATTTAAAGTCTTATTTTCGTACATAGACAAGAAAGGCACCAGATGTTAATTTACTTCAAATTATTTGAACCTTACTTCGCAGTAACAATTATTATTCCCTGTCTTGTACAAGAGGTTTGAAACCTGTGGTCGCTGCAGAAGGAGATGAAGAAAGCGCTATCACTAAACTAGTCTCACAAGACTTGTCCTTCAAGAGTCATAAAGGCTCAGCATAAAGGCTCAGACTGAATAGGGAAGAAAAAAAAATGCTGATGAGGTTTGAACAGCAGATTTTTTAAATGGAGAATTTTTCTGTATCTTCTCCAACGGGATAATTAACAGGAAAACGGGGAACGACTGCTGCGTTGCAGGGAGCTGTGCAGAGCCCCGCACCGGCAGCACCCTGCGCGCCGCCCTAAGCTGCCGGAGCCCGAGCGCGTTCGGACAGCACCCTCAGACACGCGGCTGGGGTTTGGGGCGGGGCCGTGGTTAGAACTCCATAGTTCCTAGGGGACAATCTGCAGTAACTGCTACGCGGAGCTCGGCGCCTGCCCGAGGCGGTACTCACGAAGGGCCTTTCGCGACCTCTCCTGAAGACGAACGCCATCGCGGCTGACAGCGCGCTCCGCCACCTTCCGCTTTTCCTGCGGACGCTTCTCCCAGCACGCCCGACCCGCCAGCAACAGCGCGGCGGATTTGCTGGGAATTTGCGCTCCGCCAATCGGCGCGCGCCTTACTGCGGCCATAGCAACCTACCAGAGGCAAGCCCCGCCCCCATCCGCCTCCTCATTCGCTCTCGGCGGTGGAGCTTCGTTTCCTCTTTCGCGCCTGGCGCCTTCAGTCAGGCGCGCGCTGCGAGGCGGGCGGTTTGCAGCTGCTGCTGAGGGAAGCGGGGCTTGTGCTCTGTCGGCTGGCCTGTGGAGTTATAAATTCCCTTCCACGTTTTTCAGAGAGAGTAACTGCTGCTGAAGTAAAAAGGTGAGGGAGGTCCGATGACGGCCAAAGGAAACCTCCCTGCCGCGGCGGGATCCGTGGTTGTTCCTTACGGACACGTGGTTGGGAACGAGAAGTGGAGGGGATCCGAGATGGCCCGCAGGCTGCAAGGTGAGAGGGAACAGCGGCTCTCTGTTCCTCGCTGGTGCCGAACTTCCTGGAATGCGCTTCATTCGGTCGTAGCCACATCTGAGCAGGACGAACAGCTGTTCGTGGCTGTGATGAACTCTGCCGTGTTTGCGTTGCTGCCGCTGAGCAGCTGGCTGCAGCTCCACCGAGGTACGGCAGGGTGCAGGGTTCTGCAAGGCCGAAGTGTGTCGAGAGGCCGCCTGGAATCTGTAGTTTCAAAGAGCTGTTAATCGGTATTGTCAAAGGTATCGGTTTAGCTTCCTCGAGCAGGTTTTACTTGATGAGAAGAGCGACTGCGAAGTGAGTTTGGTAGCCGAGCCAACAGAATTATTGGCGTATCGGGAGAGCTGCGTGGCTAAGTGCTTGTGTGTGTCTTTAAATTGCTGTATTTTTTATTCTTAACCTTAAGGGAAAACTAAACTCGTCTTTGAAGATGGCTTGGGACTCGTGGATTTCCATCTTTCCAACAGAATCTGTGTTTTATATATTTCTGAAGCAGATTTGGTTGCAGGGGATGAATTCAAGCGGAGATTGGTGCGGTTTAGGAATGTAAGTACCACAGGAGAAGAGGAAGTTTCCAATTGCAGCTTGCATATTCCGTGCTGAAAACATTCACATTGTGACTTTTTCTTATTTCTGGTGGAGCTAAAATTCTGTGGTATTTCCACCGAAATACCGAAAACCGAAAGATTACACATTGGTGTAATAATGCTTTATTTAGCTTCAATGCTGCTTGTGCAGCTTTCATTTTTCCTCTGCTTGCTTCTGTCTAAGTCACATTTGACAGGTTGGTTCTGTGCTGCGTCACATCAGCTTGTTAATGAGGTCTTTTTCCCACCCCACCCCCTTCAATATAGGCCAGCAGCCTTGGTGGAATTGTGATTGTCGAAAAGACTCCAATAAGTGAGCAGTACTTCTCAGCAGTGCAAAAGCTCGTTGTGCTGCAACTTGGAATGGCGTTGGTTCCTGTGGCAAATCAAGAAGAAGCGTCTCAACTTATTACTCAACTTGTAAGTTCTAATGTTAGTGGAGAGTCACTTCATATATAATAAGGCAGAAAATTACCTATTTTCCACTCAATCATGACTTGTTTTATGGAAAAAACATATGTGATTTCAAGGGAGCCCAACATTTGGTCCTAAAATGCTAATAGGTAGTGCAGGTCAGTAGGAGGAGGAAGCAAAGGAAAAAAAAAAATGGAAGAAGTTGATACTGTATTTTTTGTATGTGATCTAGCACTGAGATGCCACTGGATAGCACCAGGAAATCCATTCTTGTCTGTCAAAACCAACTTGTGATTATTTTTTTTCTTGCTTTGCGTCAGGCTGAAGAAATTTCTTAAGTTGATTCTCTTTTTTACTTTATTCTTTCTTGATTGCATCAATTGCTTGAATTCATTATTTAAGTTAAGAAACCGTTGAGTTTCCTGGCGAGGCTTTGTGGGTATGCACTGAAGCAAAAATACAGAGCTCCAGTAGAGGGCATTTGGTGTTGCTTATGGTTTTGTTTTGCTTCAGGTCCGTGAACAAAGTAAGGATCACACCAGTAACCCCTTTCTGCGTAAACAGTGCTCACAGCTGGCTGAGGCGTCAGTGTTTCGGACAGTGCAACAAATCCCAGGAGTTGGGAAAACGAAAGCTCTGCTTCTACTGCAACAGTTTGGAAGCATCCATCAGATTTGTAACGCATCTGTCAAAGAACTCGAGCTCGTAGTTGGACCAACAGTGGCACAACAAATCCATACATTTTTGGGTTCCTGACTTGCATATTATGCTGTTCTTGAAAAACTGCATCTGTTTCTTGTGAATTCTGAAGTTTTGTTCTCAACGATAACTTACTATGGTAATTTCTGTAATCTCAGCAACAACTAGAGGGTGCAGAGTAATCACCTGGCTTGCTCTCCTCTTTATAGCTGTTCTGGTCGTTTGGATATAAACTTGTACCATCCTCCTTAGAACTGTGCTCTTTTGTGTATTAGTTTCAGATGAAGGTAATGCTGTCATACTGCCTTGGGATTTATGTAACTGTTACATTACGTAACTGGTAAGAGATCAATTCACACTGCTGGTGTTAGTATGTTTGTTCGTTTGTTTTTTAGGACCTTTTAAATCAAACATTTCTTGCACTGTACACTGCTGGGAAACACAGCTGAGTACAGTGATTACTTCATGTCACAAACAGCAAGGCAGTGCAGCACTTGGTATCGGCTCCACAGTTTGCTTTAGCTGTTTATTTCCACCTGTCTGTGTATGACAGGGCTTCTCAAACATCACGCTGTGTTTAGTGCTGCCTAAATACATCTTTGACTACACTAACTCGTTTCCCTAGTTCTTTTTTCACTCCAAAGGACGTTACCAAATTTATTCCTTTGTATCAAATTAACTAAGATTTTAGACACTAATATGCTTTTCTATATAGGTTGGGATGATTAATTATGGCATTAAATATAGCAACTACCATATGTGGGAAGCTTTGACCGTTCTGTATCTTGTGCTTCCAGTACTAACCAGGAGTTATTTATGAAGTGGACTGGTGTTCCTGACATATTGCATTATATTTTAAGTGATATCTCATCTAGTAATTTTTATTGTTGCTATGCACCCGTTAAGGAGGTGTTGTAAGTTCCAATCCTATCACTTGGCTTTTGGATTACAGCAGGAAGGCAGTTGAGCAGTTTTCAGTTCCTGTTCATTAAGAGAACCTCTGTAACCAACTTAATCATCCATGTGATGATGGATTTGTTACTTACACTGATTCCTTTCTTGGGTTGAAAATACAGTTACAAGATGGCTTTACATTATTTTATGTACTGATAGTAAACATCAGGATTTCCACAACTAGAAAACAAGATACTATTTTCTCACTAGGGAATACTTGAGCTTCATTATAAATGTTTTAGCTTTTTTCTGTCACTGGTTACTGATGTTGCTATGGAGACTGGATTTCACACCCAAAACGTGTGTGGCTATTGATACTGCAAGGCAAACACCAAAGTACATTCTGCACTTCTTCCAGTGACCACCTGGCTCAGTACACCAAATAAATTCCAACTGAAGTAGTAAAAACTAGTACTACTAAAGTTAAAGGCTGAAGCATTAAACTGTGGCAAACTTTGATTTTATAGGATTTTAAAATAGCCTTGTATATTCCATATCATTAGAAGCATATGATGAAAGTGCTGAAGTCTTAATTTGCTGTGAAATGAGTATTTATCTTGTTAGCTATTGCCTGCCACTCACTGTAAAGTTAATCTTTAAAAAACTGCTAGAAAATAGTAAATATGGATTCATATGGCACTTAAAGCCCCAATTTTTGCTCGAGTGTGAAGAAGGCCCCCAGCCCTGTGTTTCCTCAGGGACCAGTGATGGTGGGAAGGGGAAGGCATGCAGCTGAGAGACCTAAGGAATGGAGATACTTTTATTGAAAGGAGCATTACAGAAACCTGCAGGGGTATGTTACCAGAAAGTAGTAAAAACTTGTAACACGTTTTATTTTCCAAGCAGCAGTAGAATCAAAGAGTCATTACCCAATGGCAGCATCTGATTTTTATTCTTAAATAAGTCATTAACATATTTACACCTATTATTAAGAAACTAAAAATGACACCTCTGAAGTTTACACCCAGACACAAGCTTTCCCATAAGTTTTGAGTATCAAACAGCAAATATCTACTCTGTAGATAGCAACATTAACTAACACTAAAGTGTTAGCAACTTTCAATTAATTTCATAAAATAGAAGAGTTTAGCAGAAATACTCAGAGGTTTTTCATCTCCTTGTCAATACATGCTCATGAGATGTTCCAAGAAGTAGAAGATTTCATATCAGTTTTCTTACCTGGCACAATAATAGTCTCCCACTGTGATTTCTAAGGACTTTTTTTCCTCATGTTTTGAAAGTGTCACTACGACTTACATATTCTTGGTCAATATACTAGAAAATGTCAGTTTTGAGATTTGTTCCACAACTATCAATTTTAACAAGAGTAATGAAATGCAGATCATCTTGTAACTAGGTTAAATAATTTCAAGTCTGGCAAACAACCTGTTTTTAATAATGCACACGTAACCTCGATCAGAAAAGAGCAGAGTCAAAGTCCTTTGTAGTTCAAAAGACTGTATGACTTCTGAGCCTTCTAATTCTGTTGCTAAGTCATGTCAGCTATTCCATAGAATATACCTCGTGCTCTCAGAGAACATTTAAGCATAAAAACAACTGTTAGACCACCCTTTGCAGAAAGCTATTTTCTCTAACAGCTTCCTCTCTCCTTTGTTCTTTAAGATAATTCTGTGAAGTAGTGTTAAGCAACTTATTATGAACTCTACATTTTTACAGCAAAATCATCCTTCACTGTGTTCCCTACTGTTTTGCATGCAGCATCGAGTTTGTAATAAATAACTCCCATCTACAATAGTTACAAAAACTGGTGATGATACTGTATTTTGAAATTCCAAAGGAATCCTGTCTCTGCAAGCCATTTTATCATCAACAAACTTTTTCCATCTCTCAAACCATTTTGTTCTAACCTTCAAATTGACTCAAGTTCTACAGTTTCTGCCAAACTCTGATCTTCATAGTAAGTGAAGTCAGTGGCACTTGTCTGAAGTTATACACATGTATAGATAAAGATAACATTGATCAATGTGTTTTATATACATTTAAAAGAAAAAACTTCATGGTAACAGCTCCTTCAGAAAGATTCAGTACAGTGAACTTTCTGTACCCAGAAACGTGAAGGGAGAAAACTTTTTCTTAACCTGAGAACTTGCAGCCACAGCTGAAGGAAGGCAGAGGGTGCTTGCAGCCTTCTGTCTGTTTTTAGTTCCCCAACTTAGAAAAGGCAGTTTGAGTGGGGCTTTCTTAGCCTGATCAGTCTTGTTGTCTTCCATGGCTAAACAGATCAGGGAGTATGTCTTCTGCATTCCCACAGAGTAAGTGGCACTCTTGCTATGCTGTAGGAAAGAGAGAAGAATTATAAGCACCAGTCACTGAAAATGGGTCAACAATTTGAAGACAACAAAAGATTACTGTGCACATAGTTTTCCAAGGCAGACTACAGCAAGCATTCTGTGCTAATTAGTACAGAACACAAAGTCCTTCAGGGGGCTGGGATTTCTGGTATTTTGCCCTTGCAGACTGAAGGGGTTTACTGTACAAATCTAAAAGATTCACAAGTCCCTGTACAGTGGTGGTGCTGTTACAGTTACACAAAAGCCAGTAAGTGCTGCATGACATATACAGCAACCTCTCTACAACACTTGGGCATGCAGCTCTTGCACAAATCCCTCAAGAGTCTCTGCTGTCCCTGGAGTCCAGAAAGTCTTTAGAGTTTTTGGTAAATGCTCTGAACAAACTCCATGTTGACTGCAGCTATTACAAGTGCTAATGTAAATGTTTTCGGTTATCTGGCAGGCACAGCCCTCTGCCTTTTCTTAGCCGTGCCTGATTGTAATGTAGCCCTTTTGTGTCCAGCAGAAGCTTGGAATGACAGGCATGCAATTCCTTGTGGTCAGTAAGGAAAATGAATTTCAAACAAGGAAATCCAGTGGCAGTGAGGGCACCTTGATCACTTTTAAGGCAACAAGCATTCTAGTGTCTAAGCTTGCCAGGAAATGCTAGAGGCATGAAGCACTGGATTTAGCTGAACTACATGTTCCCTTACCACAAATAATGTTTTTAGGGCTTAACGTTTTTTAAACTTGTGATCACATTTCCTTAGTCTAAAGTTTCTATGGCAGTTTTGTGACTGACTAGACAGTTAAAATACCCCAAGATAAAAACATACACCAATCTGTAAATTCTTCTACAAATGATATAGGTCGTTTATGCTAACAGCAAATAGAAAAGGAGCATGTAGACTTGGATGCTCTACTGCACTCAATTATTGTTTCATTATGGCTCTTCTTGTGCCAAACAGGATGGTAATTTTTTTAAATTCTCTGCAACAAGTTAGGGGAAAATTAATTGCAATATGAATTCTAGGGCATATTTAATCCCAGTAGTTCCACTAACACACAGACACAAAAGTAAAGCTGCCAACAACAAAAAAAAACTGCCCCAAACCATTCTTATGCACACAGACTTCACTTTAGTTTTCTAAGTCATGATGCAAGTTCTACTGATTTTAAATGGACTGTTTAAAAAGTACCAGATGTTTAAATGCACTATCTGTTCACTTGCAAAGTGGGTTATCTAGGTGAATTGAAAGTAAACATTAATCAAGGACTGAAGCCAGAGGGGAAAAAAAACAACAAAAGCCTCCCACATCAAATCCACAAATGTATTTGCCTCATTACGTACCACAGATGCTGTTGTATCCTGGCAGCTGATAACCTCAACCTCAATGGGCTGCTCTCCCACACTTTCCAATTTTTCCAGAACCTCATTCACTCCAAGCCATTTGCAATCCACTCCACCAATTGAAACAATGTAATCACCTTCTTTTAGGCCCGCTGACTGTCAAAAATTGTGCATGAGTTACTATCAGGAATTATAAAGCCACGTAAAATGTTTCTTGTCATCAGGCAGTATTTGCCCTAAAGGCATTTCCCTCACAGTAGCCATTGAAGCCACTGTCTAGTCAGACATGTGGAACAAAAACTTATAACTAGCATAAAAAGATGCAGATATTTCAAGTACAGAAATTACATACTTTGTGGAGTTGCTGTTGATACATGATTTTGGTATTCTCTTGGCTAGTTTTACATCCTTTTTTTTTCTCCCAAGTTAAATCCCAAGTGTTTTTGTTATCTTATCATTCCCATGAGGCATGTTCTCCAGTTTCTATTTCTATTCTGTCAGCTTTTTTGTATCATGTGGTTGCTTCTGCCTTTGCTGTAACTATGCTGTAGTAACCTCAGTGTGTTGATTCCCTTTCATAAAACGACAACATATCAAAAACCACTGAAGTGTTCTTTTTCCTTGGGTACATCCTGAGCCTCATCCTTACTGTTGTAGCTACTTTGTTTCTTCCTGTTTCCCAAATTAGATGGGGAATAACATACTTGCTTTTTTATGTTTGGGACTTTCTATCTACTGAAAACAATGAAAGAAATGTACAGTAGTGTAACGTGATGTCAAGGATATAGATTCTCTAGCAACTAAGGTGTATATTGTACTAAAAGTGTGTCCAGATTGCATTAATTGACTAGATCTCAGTAAATACTCCATACACAGATATGAACAAACTAAAACCACTTTTAAAAGACTGCAGTGCTAAAGATAAATCATTAATATTGCACCAATCTACTTACTGCTGCAGAACAAACTGGATCAAGACAGTAAATCTGTACTGGTGAACCTCCTTTAAGGCTGAA